TCCGACGAGTACCACAATGGGATCAGTGCATGATCCCCTGGCGGCCATCCCAGCGCAGCCGATCAATTCTTCAAATATTAATGTCTCATTCATGCCTCCACCACCGTCGGTGTACCATAATTACTACGAACCGCACACATCGCCTCCCGCCGGAGGGATGGAAGGATCGAACGTTCCTTCGCAATCAATGAATGATAATTCCGGCACCTCCGGCGGACTTCCGGACTGGTTCGCGCTTCCGCTCGATCATTTCTTCAACAGTTCGACGGCCGTTGTTGATCACGGCCTCGGAGGAACAGGGCCAATGGTAGGCGAGTTTGACATGCTTGAAGTCCTGCTCAACGAGCAATATGACGGCACGGGCGACGGCCTCGATTCAGCGGGGCGCGACGGGCTTCCGTCCCAGTTCCTGCAGTCTTAGCTGATCCCATTCCAGACAATGATGACGAATGCTTATCATGCTTAATCTAACGGTGGCGCTGTTCCTAAAAGTTCACTTGAGCTACATACTTCACCTCGGCCAAGGAGTTCTACACTTTAGCCTGCCAGGCGCCAAGCACTGCGACCATGCTTAGCGTTCCGTGGCTCGATCCTATATATGCTTGTCTTAGGATTGTTCCTTGGTAACTAGAAGGTGACCTTCACGGGGTTGCATTGTTGCATTCCATTTCTGAAGTTGCTTCTCAGTACGGCTCTCAACAAAGCCTTGTATAGTGTATGAGAAAGGGTTATTTGACAGCTTGGCGGTTTCAAGACATCTTCATGTGTCATGTATGTTTCTATGCGGGAGTTTCAAATGTCAACACCCCAGACCCTTGGATACGAGCTTAAATAATAACGTTTCTAGAACCGTAGAACGACACATGCGCGGTTCTCTGGTATGCACTCTGGATGTTTCAGTGTCGCACAGTCGTTTATGCAGTGTGATGCTGATTCCTCGGTTTTCTGTCTACAATTAGCCTAACGGAGAGTTATTATTATTACTTATCTACTCGATGTAATTGATATTGTCTGAAGGCAGTGATCTCACCTCGCATATGCGTGCCGCAGGAGGCGGCTTCTCCCTTGTGCAGTAGAAGTAGACTCCATGCTCCATCCGAAGTACCCGAAGAGCTCCAGATGCCGATCACGAAGGAAATGGACTCCGCCATCCTGGCCAGAACTGCGGAAATTTGTAGGGATAATTGGCCTTGTAACGATTATATGCGGTTATTTGTTTTGTCTTACGGTTAAGTGCTGGTTCAGACCACTGATGTAGATGCTGCAGCTTGTAGGGAAGGTAAGCATGATATTACTACGAGATCTGAGGTATATCCATCTCCAGATGAAAATATCCTTACGATTTGGCCCTGCAGGGCAGTCAATAATGATCTGCCCCGATAAACGATTCATTTTAGTCATCCTATGCTCCAGAGTCCCTTTCTCTTCGCTTATCTTTGAAGATCAACAACCACAGGCTGCACCTGATGAATCTCCCAACATTCAAGCACCGGTATTCGCTCGGACTCCGACCCTTTCAATTTGGGACTTGGTCAGGGAGGACCGCATCGAAGCTTCTGAATGGCTGAATTGCTCGGGTTGTGGACGGGGACCTCGGAGGGTCTAACTGAAAACTGAATAAGAAAAATAATAAGAGCTAGGGTGTGAGTGGATGGTGAAAGTCTCAAAGTGACATCGCGCCCGGGCTAGTCTCCGCAGGTGGATTGGGGTGTCCCTTGGCGTTAGGGGTTGAGAGAACAGAGTTGTTGAAGGACTCACAGGTCTGCAGTAGTTTTGTAACATTGACATGTGAGTTAACATAGTAATATCTGGTGAGGGATCGACATACTCATAGAAGGATGATATACAACGATCGAAGCATCAAAGAGATAAGGGATGATCATGGGATATCTTCCGCGGCCAAGGCAGTAAGGCAGGGCTTATCGCTTTTACCTTAGTCTAGATCGTTCATCTTCGACCAGCATGTTCTACGGCGTAGGCTTCTCAATTCCTGTGAATCTCGAAATGTATCACCATCCATGTGAAGTCGTGAATCCATCCAATAAACGTTGCAATCGTCCTGCTGAGACCCTGGTCTCTCATCATCCTCTGACTTCTCTCATGCTTCCATCTCCTCAGGGGCTGCATCGGACTCCGGTCAAGCCCAGATGACCCTGGTTAAATTTCTCCGTTGGTTTATGCAGTTAATCTACAATGTACTCCGTACACTCGGCTCCTAAGATTGAGTCAGTACCGTGAGTCCTGTGCTCCCCACTCTCCACTCTCCACTGAAGACACTAACACCATCAATGACGATCTTCAGCTCATAACGAATGAGATCGTTTCTCTCACTTTTCCAGATAGCTTAATGCCTGAGCTGCCGGCGTTGTCCGTCCAATCCAGCCGTGCAGCAGGACAAGAGAAGCCAGAAGGACAAGAGAAATCTTGTCCTCTCTTGTGCTCTCTTGTCCTAAACAAGCAACATGCACCTCTGCCGTAGCATTCAAGGTGGCCGCGCTAACCTCCTGGATGGATACTCCAGCTGATTTGCTTCGTTCGCCCCGCTACGCTATCTAGAACCGACAATCGCGGCCAGGGTGCCGTTCCATCTTTCCCTTGGCCTAGCCGGGTGGGTGTGACAATTCGTCTTCCAGCCCTGGATGACGGGATTCATGTCCCTGGATCTTGTAGATCTTCATCGCGGACTTCCTGGATAAGAGATATGGCGTGAAGGCTTAGGTGAAACTTGGTCCTCCTGACCCCGGAGTGACTCCGTCAGTAGCTGCTATCTATCCTAGGCCCATGGAAGAGAAAAAAAAAGCATATAAAGGAGGCATGTTCACCAGCTGTTGACGGAATCTCATCCTCATTCTCATTCAGCAAGAGTTTGAGATCGTCTGTTTCCTTTCTTTCCTTGATACTTCCCACGGTCCAGTAGTCCGTTGCTTCATCAAGATGGTCGTCTTTAGCAAAGTCACAGCTGTCGTTGTCGGTCTCTCGACCATTGCGTCTGCTGTCCCTGTGGTTCAGCCGCGCAAGGGCTTCACCATCAACCAAGTGGCCAGGCCAGTGACCGACAAGAAGACCGTCAATCTTCCAGCCGTCTATGCCAATGCTTTGACCAAGTACGGCGGCACTGTCCCCGACAGTGTCAAGGCGGCTGCAAGCTCCGGCAGCGCTGTTACTACCCCCGAGCAATATGACTCGGAATACCTGACTCCCGTCAAAGTCGGTGGAACAACCCTGAACTTGGACTTTGACACTGGCTCTGCAGATCTGTAAGCGCATCTTGTCCGTCTTTCTTGAATTGAATTGACTAACTGTGATAGCTGGGTCTTTTCCTCCGAGCTTTCGGCTTCCGAGTCTAGCGGCCACGCTATCTACAAGCCATCCACCAGTGCCCAGAAGCTGAATGGCTACACCTGGAAGATCCAATATGGTGATGGTAGCGGTGCCAGCGGTGACGTCTACAAGGATACCGTCACCGTAGGGGGTGTCACTGCTAAGAGCCAGGCTGTGGAGGCTGCCAGCCAAATCAGCTCTCAATTCGTGCAGGACAAGGACAATGATGGTCTGCTGGGTCTGGCATTCAGCTCCATCAACACCGGTGAGTTGCTGTCAAGATTTCTAACTTTGACCTCAACCCGCTGACTTGAATTGATGCAGTCAGTCCTCGCCCTCAGACTACTTTCTTTGACACTGTCAAGTCCCAGTTGGACTCTCCTCTCTTTGCTGTGACCCTGAAGTACCACGCTCCAGGAACCTACGACTTTGGATACATCGACAACTCCAAGTTCCAGGGACAGCTCACTTATACCGACGTCGACAACTCCCAGGGTTTCTGGATGTTCACTGCTGATGGCTACGGTGTTGGCGACGGTGCCCCCAACCACAACCAGATCAGCGGCATTGCTGGTATGTTTTTCACTGTTTCGTTTGAAAAGTACCAGGCTGATCCATTTTAGACACCGGAACCACCCTCCTCCTGCTTGATGACAGCGTCGTTGCCGCCTACTACCGGCAGGTTTCTGGAGCCAAGAACAGCAACGAATACGGTGGTTATGTCTTCCCCTGCTCCACAAAGCTTCCTTCCTTCACTACCGTCATCGGAGGCTACAACGCCGTCGTTCCCGGTGAATACATCAACTTCGCCCCCGTCACTGACGGCAGCTCTACCTGCTTCGGTGGTATCCAGAGCAACTCCGGCTTGGGCTTCTCCATCTTCGGAGATATCTTCCTCAAGAGCCAGTACGTCGTCTTCGACTCCCAAGGCCCCAGACTCGGCTTTGCCCCTCAGGCATAGATGAATATGCACGCGGTTCTTGGTCTTTGAGGCCAGCCCGGCTATATCTACAGGGCCTGTGTCCGTCGAGAATTATCTCCAGTTTCGTTCTTGTATATGACTTTAGTTTAGAACGGCAATATGATTATGACCACAGACTCTTTCTGCTTTGCATTAGTAAGATAGTAACTTATGCGGCTTTTTCAAAATCCACATATATATCGAATATATATCTTAGCTAGAGTACGTTGAGATGTGCAGGGTGCACGTGAGAGAACTGTCTTTATCAACTGCAGGACGTCCCATTCCTTGTGAACCGAAATCTCTGAGCTTGATCACCTAAAGAATTATATCTGAATAATTCTGGATGGTAACATGGTTGAGGTAGGAGACCATCGGCCTCTTGCATCTACGCTGTCTACTGAGATTGAAGCGAGAAGATCTGCTTCCTTCTCTTCCAACAGCTCTTGCGTTCAAAATCTTCTCTCCATCATGCTGTGTTATCAGAGTCATTCCAGACGAGCTCACCGCTTATGCTGGGGATAATTTCGAGCCAGCAGATAATACGCCTCACATATTTGGCCTTGATGGAGGGTCAATGCAAGGGAGAAGAGTGAGGTAACACATATCGCCTTGGACAGTCAGCCGCAATTCGCATGAACATCTATATAAAGGCTGACGGTTCAAGTGTCAAGATGGCTATTTCATCTGGCACATTGTACAAATCTGATCCGAAAAAATGGTGGAAAAAGTGCTTCAATACGACGACGGTTCGTCCACGGATGACTCGACACCGGTCGTCGACTCACTCTCCGAGGATGAGCGCGAGATCGAGCCCAGACTACGTCGCAAGCTGGATATACGGATCATGCCTGTTATTGTCTTGATATATCTTCTCAACTTCATTGACCGGTATACTGCACCCGCAAGACTATGGACGGTTCATGCTAACCCTAGCTAGGTCAAACTATACCGCTGCCCGTCTTCAGGGTTTAGAGCGTGATCTCCATCTCTCTGGCTCAGAATACCAGGTCGGGCTCTCGGTGTTCTTCGTGGGATATGTCCTTGGGCCGATCCCCTCGAACCTTCTTCTGAATTATCTCGGCCGTCCCTCGGCTTATATCGGCCTCTTTGGTGTCGCCTGGGGACTGGTGACGCTCTTGACCTCGCAGGTGAAGGGCTATGGATCCCTTGCTGCTTGCAGATTTATCCTGGGTGTAGTTGGTAAGCCTAGGCTTTCTCTTCTGGGCGATGGGGGCCTGGACTGATTCCATACATGCGATAGAGGCGCCCTTGTTTCCGGGTATCATGTTCTATCTCTCGGTGGGTGAAGATCCTCAAGAAGCTACGGGCCTGTCTCTGACCTACACAGAAATGGTACACGCAGAGAGAACTGGGCGTGCGGATGACCATATTCTTTTCGGCCTCGCATATTGCCAATGCTTTTGGGAGCCTGATCGCCGCCGGCATACTGAACGGCCTCGACGGTAACCGGGGATTATCTGCATGGCGATGGCTGTATATCATCGAGGGAGCCAGTAAGCCACACTTGCTCTATTGACTGAAGCAACACACTAACCCTGACGAGTCTCCGTCTTCCTCGGCTTCATAGCTTGGTACCTGCTGCCAGACTTCCCAGAGAACTGGCGTGCCTTATCCCCCGAGATGAAACACGTCGGTACGTCTCCTTCATCTCTTTCTACGTACACAATCACTGACCAACCTACCAGCCATCCGACGAATGGCCCTCCAAGCCGCCGAATCCGACCTAGACGAAGGCAATGCCTCCTCGCAACTCACCGGCCTCAAACTCGCCTTCGCAGACCCCAAACTCTACCTCTTCGCAGGCATCTATATCTGCATGGTCGGCTCCTTCGGCTTCACCAACTTCTTCCCAACCCTCACCTCCTCCCTCGGCTACAACCACACCATCTCGCTCCTCCTCGCCGCCCCGCCCTTCATGTTCATGACCCTCTACAGCTACTTCCACAGCCTCCTCAGCGACCGCCTCCAATCCCGCTTCTGGTTCTTCGTCTACCCCATCCCCATCGCCATCGCCGGCCTCCTCCTCTTCATGACCACCGACTCGCTAGCAGCAAAATACTTCGCCACATTCCTAATGATGTTCTGCGTCTGCATGAACGGGACTACACTCAGCTGGGCCGCGAGCTCCATGCCCCGCCCCCCTGCGAAACGCGCCGTCGCCTATGCTTTCATGAACGGCGTGGGCAATACAACGGGGATCTGGACGCCGTTTACCTATCGGGACAAGGACTGGCCGCATTATCAGCTTGCGTTGGGGATTTGTATTGGGTTGCAGGCCGGGGCGGCGGTGTTGGGGACTTGGTTGAGGTTTGTGCTGGTGAGGGAGAATAAGAGGCTAGAGAGGGAGGAGAGGGAGGCGGTGCAGGGCTTGCAGGGTGGGATTGCGAGTGGGATTACGGGGTTTCGGTATATTCTGTGATGCAATCCGGCAGGGTTGGGATTAGGCTATATATCAAGTGGATTGGCCATGGCACTAGCAATGTTAGATGGATGGTTGTTGCTTTAGCCTATTGGTACTTCGTTCCATTATGGTATGTCGGCTTTAGTACTATGATGGGGCTGGATAGGGCGCAAGGATCAGCTGGATCAGATCGAATCAACGCTTATCCACTACTGATAAATTATATGCATCTAGGTACATATTCTATGTACGAGATATAGACATGTCCCGCTAGAGAGAAGAGTGGAGAGAATCAATCACCTGCAGATAATCCTTCCTGTACGTCTCCAGGGATTGATTAGAATGAAGAATGACAACACAAGGCACAGCATGACCGATACGCCGTCCGGGTATGACGCAAATCAAATATCCTGGGAATCCAGAGCCCATATCTCCCAGTGTTGCAACACTTCCCACCCCACGCGTCGGACCCGTCTTCTCCAGATCCGGCCATCCTTGCTGATCTGTGTCGGGAGGCACAGTTCATCCAGCTTGGCTTCCCAATTCGTAGGCGGCCGTGCAGGCGGCGAGCTATCTTGCCGCGGACGTTTTCCGAGGAGAGACGATGGTTGACTGGTTTGAGGAGGCTCGGCTGAGAGGGGTGTACTGTTAGGTGTCGACGTGAGAGAATCCTGGGGATGCGAGAAGGGTCGATCACCGGCCATGAGGCTCCGGTCCTGTTGGCCGTTGACAACTGAACTGGTCGAGGAGGAGGTAACTGTGGGCGTCGTGGGTTGCGGCTCCGGGTTGGGAGCTGCACTGTCTGCAGGCAGCGTGTAGTAATCGCCTAATTGCCAGGCTTTGTGGCCCATGCCGATGATCTTCAGCTGGCGGAATAGATTCTGATCCGCTAGTGACTCGCTGAGTTTCTCAATAAGGATCTGATCGTCCAACTCAACTATATCAGCGAGAGTCCGTGCCGATGAAAAAGGATGTGGTGTGGACGAAGACTTGGACGAGTGCCCTGGATCAGTCTTCACTTGTCGTGATCGTTCGCATGCTGCCGAAGACGATCCCGGCCCAGTCGGAACCAGCAGGCGAACAGCGACTAGATTGCGCAGAAACGGGAGTACAAGTCCCAAAGTATCCATACTGGAAAGATCTGCTGCCAAAGCCAGTTGCTCCAGTTGCGGACTAGCATGAACAAGACGAGCTATTGTGGACGCTGAGAGTGGCCAGCGAGAGGGGAGCAGAAGATGGCGTAGGGTTGCGCAGTGGTTCATGATGATGTTATTCAGGTAGATATCACGAATGCTAGCCTGCACACCGGTATTCGACCCCGGTGAAGCGGCAGGAGTTTCCTCGGTGGAGGCGCTCACAGTTGAACTATTGGTGGTATGATCCAGAGACGGCGGGGTGAGTGCCGAAGACGGGAGCAGTCGCCGGGGCGAGTTGACATTGTCCGATGAATCTCGCGATGCATTGACGAAATACAACTTCTCCAGGCCAGTAAAATAAGACAAAAACTCAGCATGTCTCCTCGAGGTGGAATCCTGTCTGAACGATTTGAAATTCACCTGACCGGGAGGCCCAGTCGGCCAGCTGCTGTCATAAAAGGTATTCAACGATTTGGCACTCTCCGATCCACATTCACTGAGAAACGTCATATCTTCGAGCGCACTCGGGTCAAGGGCAATCTTGAACTCCTCGCTGTGACGGGCATATAGATTCTGAAGTGCCAGCTTCTTGACCTTCAAGGGCTGCCTCGCAGCAATACATTTGCGGAAGTAATCATGCAGCATGACGCTGGGCTCCTGCTCGATGCGCATCCGCGGCGACCAGTGCATCTTGAGCTCCCGCAGTTTCTTACACTTCCACAACAACGTCGAGATATCATCGGGATAGCACAGCGGATCGATATGCGTGATCTTCAACGAGCGCAGATGAGGCATCGGTGGGATAACGATCGTGGGTCGCGGATGCCGACTCGAGGGAAATCGTATACTGAGCGAGGTGAGCTTCGGCCGCTGCGCCAGCCCCAGGTACACCGTCTCGAGCATCTTCGTGCTGAGCTCCCAGCTGAAACTCTCCAGCTCCGTCATCCGATCGACGGCCGCCCGCACCGCGATGTTCAACATCATCGATGAGTCCGGCACCCGGCCGACCCGCGCGTGTTCCTCCAGCTCATCCTCCCGCCAGTCGCCCCGCAGCGTCAGCGACCGCACTAGCGAAGCGTACGGTCTCGTAATGACAGCATTGAGGCCCATCGAGAAGGGGCTGGCGCTGCCGATTCCTTCCGGCTCATCCCCGCGGTATCGGATTTTGTCGTAGGAGGTCAAGGTGATGTGTTTGTAGAGCTGTGGGAGGGCCATGTAATTGAGGACTCGACATGTTCGGCACAGACGAGCAATGTCACCGGTATTGTCAAGCTGTATGTGTCAGACTGCGTCAGTTTTCATCACTTCCTATTCAAATCAACGCGTTCTGGGACACAAACCTGAGCTATAATGAGAGCGAGCAGATTCAGCGGTAGAACTAACAGTGACGCACCATGCGGCCGCTCCGTCGTGATGCTGGCATCAAACATATTCCGATTGACGGCCGCCATGATGCGACGCCCGACGATGGAGTCGCAGCATTGACTGACACAAGGTACGGTCCAGGACAAGAGAGCGATGCATCGAGGTCTGGCCGAAGATCGCTGCAGGTGGATGATGACAATTCAGTTGAGGCGGTGCGGGAAGCAACTTTTTCGATGTGCGCGGATCTAAGAGTTTCCGAGAGACGTCTTGTGAAGCTTGATTAGGCTACAATGTTACGGTCCTATTCAATTCCCACGGTGGTCTACAAAGCAATGAGAATGTCAAGCAGATCGAAACATTCAAAAGATTATGGACTTTGTTATTGTTATATGACAGAAAGATCTCAAGGGTATCTTTTACACAGCTAGACTTTCAGTAAACCCGCCAGTTGCTCTACCTTTCCCAAATATTCAAGTAATGTGCAATTCATAGGCGACGAGACGCTGTGCACATCGTTCCAGCTCGTAAGTAAGAAGTGACAACATATCATCGAAAAAGAAATGAAAACCGATTACCACATGGTGAATGATCCCCGACTCCTCGCTAAATCAACAGTCGACAGGGTAATAGAATGTAGACAGCACCCGGCCAATAAGAAAGACAACAATCAAAGATCGCGCATGACGCCAACAGCTATCGCTCGGATCATGTGTGGTCTCGACTGGGATCAACCCCAGGGCTCTGATGAGTCGGAGACCGTTGCTGATCCTGTGGTGACGTCGCCGACGATGGAGGCTGGTCAGGTGGAGCGCTATTTTGATACTCGTGCAGAGCATCAGGAGCATCATGTCCCGCAGGTCCACCGGTTGCCTCACCAACAGGCTGACCGTCTCCATGGTGGGCCGTGTTCGCTGCAGCAGCTTGTTGCTGTGCATGATGGTCATCAGGCACGATAAGCGCTGCTGTCTCCGGATCGTAGCGCAGTTCATAGTTGCCATTGCCGAGAATCGAATCCCCCTCAGGCATACTCCACGGAGCGGCAGTTCGAGTCTGCGGCTGGATCACCCTCACGGGCAGATTGGAGCGGTCGGAACGAACGACACGATTGGGCGTCGGCTCCAGTATGTTTGCGTCGTTCAACCATTGCGGAGACCATGTATTCTGGCCCCGGCGTCTGGCAGGAATGACGGTCACTGGTAGGGAAGCCTCTGCGTCTCGCCTATCAGAGCCGGGCATGATCCTGAAATTGAATGGGAACAAATTTCCCTGTTTACTGCATGCAGTACGCTGCCTGTCACTTTCGTCGCCATACAAATCTTCCTGCGCAGTCGAAGGATCCTCGTCTGCCTGTGCTGAGGCAACTTCTCTGGGCAGAGAGGCATGTCTCTTCTTGAAGGGGTTAAGGATCGTTCGCCAACGGCCGTCCATATTGACGATCTGAGGTGACTCCTCGCGGGTCTGCTGCGCTGAAAGACGCGGCTGCGCGACGTCAGCTTCTCCTTCGTCGGTTCTCATGGCCATTTCTTTCAGCTGGTCTGTCTCGTATTCCTCTTCCTCCTCCATATGAGGCATAACGACAGGAGGCGTCGGGCTAGACACTGGGTGATAATGGACATTATACACGGTGCTGGCTGCACTTGTGGTATCCGCGCGACTAACTGGAGTAGCAGCCGCCGGGGGTGGTGTCGGGCGGCCAGCTCCATGACGTCGCACATCGGAACCAACTGTTTTGCGTTGCTTGTCCGGCTTGCGGTTGCCACGGGGTAGACCGACCCTTGTGCGCAGAGGGCGATGTGTCAACCCCATGACACCTCCCCATCCCGAGGACGTACCGCTTCCCCCGCCCCGGTCGCCTCCACCGTAGGTCTGGCGAGGCCAGTCGACCTCTTCCGATGGTGTGACTTCCAGCATTTCATCTCCGTCGAATAACTCCCTCCCGAGAATGCCATCCTTCCTTTCGTCCCGTTCCAGTGCTTCAATTCGTTCCACCCACTCCCAGACCACAACACTCGCAGCAGCTGACCCAACCCATCGTATGTAGGTACCCCAACCGGCAATCTCTTCTTTGGCGATGTCCAGAACGAAGAAAATGACGGGTATGAGAACAGCACACAAAGATAAAAGTGCGACCAAGCAGATATTCCTCATCTTGGGGTGAAAGAAGGCATATCGGTGTTTGGATAGTGAATAGAAGATGACCCAGGCGGCGTATAGAAGGTTGAGCGCGAGCTCAAACAGATAGCTGAGCGCGGGAATCGCATCGTCGTAGAGTCGGGGCCGCGTGGTATTGGTCTTGACAAGAAACTTATCCAGAATGCTAAATATCGTGTCCAAGACAATCAACGCGAACCCGGCCCATTTGATCATGATCTTCTCCTTATGTCGCGGGAATAGCCGTATCAGCGTCTGCACCTGAGCCAGCCATAGAAACGTGCTTGATATAACTCTGACCACGCGGATCTCTGTGCCATCGATAACCTCCTCGGTGAGCGCTTCGGCATCGGAATAACCGTAGTTATACTGCCGCTCAGCGACCCTGAACGAGTCCGCGGACGCGATAGTCAACGATACCGCCACCAGTATCGCAGCTACTTTCTGTAGCCACGGTCTTCCACCCACGCCAACCACCGAGGAATTGCCGCTATAGGATCCGCTGATCATGCCATGGCGGCCCAAGAAATTGGCGCCGCCACCGGGACCTCCAACATAGAACGTTCGTGGTGTGATGAGTAGTATTATGACGAGGAGATAGCTCACGACAGTTGCGCAGCCGATAGCGTATAACTGCGGAGTGACGGAAGAGTAGAAGGGATCGCGGGTGTCAAGGAGGGGTGATGGCTGCCGGGTATCGGTTGGTTGACTCGTACATACGGGCTCGAAAACGGCATTTTCTGTGAGGGTGATTGCAAAGGATCTGTTAAGATAGACATAGCCTAGAAGCATGCGCAACAGACGCGACAGTCAGCTAGAGTTGAGAGAGATCTAAGGCCGCTACAGTTGACGCAGCGACATCTAAACCAAGTAACTGCACAACACGATTGATTAATGATAATCACATACCATCGCTAGGAAGCAGAAAGGGAGTGCAGCCTGGCGAATAAGACTTGGTGGTGGTCGTCGTTGGATTAGCCCATATTTGGCGGGGAGTTATACGAGCATCATCCCCCATGGTCAGGCAGACTCTTGAAGACGTTCTTACGTCGTCGTCGGTTGCGAGGGATTCATAAAACCCGGGATATCATGCGATAAGACTGCTGTCGATGACCATTAATGCAAACGGATGGAAATTGCGTCAAACCCCCATAATGGCACTGTTCTAATGAATGTGGTCATTCGCGAGTAGTCAGGTCCCTATACGATGGTAGGAACGGACAAGTCTGGAGGCGCAAGGAGTATCGAAACCGACACGTGCTATGAGAATCGGTATTCAAAGATGATGAAGCAGGGGCAGGCAAGACAAAATGTCAAACAAGAATGGGGGAAAAGGCTTGTTCGAGAATTGGGTTGCGGAGGAGGTGCGCATAGGTCATATTCGCCAGGCTACCTTAAGGAGAGACGAGGCCAAGACTTGGTGCGATCTGATGAACAGTCCCGCCACCGCGGTCCAGATCTCTTATAGCCATTGACCAACTGCACAGTAAGCCAACATTTACTCTACAGCGATGAGCAGATTTCCTCCGACGACAAGTGATCGTCTTGTGGAGTGGTAGTTATTTAGTTGCTAATCGCTACGGATCAAATTTGGCCTCCAGATTCTGCACATCTAAGAGTTGCTGGACTGCCGCAGTCAGGTAAAATTCGACTCCGAACACCCCATCGCTACTTTTAAAGGCCATTCCCATCCCAAACTCAGTAGCTCCTATATTTATTCCACTGCTTGTCTCCTGTCGATAAATCTAGAACTCCTCGTCCTGAGCTTGGTTGAGGGGAAGTGTTTCACAGCAGCCATGTGCATGCATGTGAGTATACTACCCGCGCTGCGTAGATCGCTGATTTTAGCTCTATGATGTGATGTCAAACATGCTGACAGAAAGGGGATGCATCCTCTTTCATGAATCTATCCGGCTTCCTGCCATATCTTTAAACGAGCAGAGTCAGGAAAGCTAAAGGACAATGAGAACAAGACGGTTCAAGCCTGACTGGCTGGTCCAAGTTATCCCGGCGTAATGCGTAATATGGACTGTGACTCTGTGTCCATTGCATATTCTCACAGTTGAGTCCTTTCTGTCCTACAGATAATTGGACGCCTGTACGGAGTAATTATGGCAAAGATATGTGCAACCTTGGAGCTTGAACTCCGAATCACCTGAATCACCACCATTCAGCTACACGCCATCTCCTTGTGTCAGCTAACCGAAGTGTTTTTGACTCTGAAGCTGCCAGGATGACTTTCTGAGCTTTTGTCATGAACTGGGAAGCGGGATAAGTTCTGAAACCGTGGGCCACTCGCCAAAATACATAAGCGTAGCTTGATATTCGGGTAGAAGGATTTCACGCAATCCTACAGGATCTATGATGAAACGCTGATCTTCTAAGGTGGCCAAGCATAGATGTGATTTGAAAATATGGATCTCATTATATTCCTTGACGTCGATGCGTATATACATTGCCTGATAATTCGGCAAGATTTCAGATGCCGGTAAACATGATCCAACGCCGGAGCTAGGGATACCCCTCGCTCAATGCTGAAGGGTGAAGATAGTAACAGAAGATGAGTGGAATGGAAATAAATCCAACACAAGCCATCCAGTAGAACGACCCGGGAAAAGAAGGTGGCAAGGAAATGAACGTGTTTCGTCGCCCTGCCAGAGGAAAGTTTCTCTCATCCAACGGCAGACATGACCTCGAAGGAATTTGCTTGACGGATTGATACACTGTCCATTCTGGTAAGCATCTATCGATCTATGGCGACCTGGGCCGACATCATCTCGGCGGCTGGCCATAGGACATCTGCAAGGGCGCTGCATATGGCGATACCAGTGCCTGCCCGGTGGCCCAAGCAACTCTCTCTCGCTCTTCTTCCCGAGATTTGAATTCCTTTTCGTCTTGTATGAGCGTGCAGCACGTGCAGCATGTCGCTCGTACACAATCCGACCCAACGTTGCCGCTGATTCCGTACGCTTTACGTGTCCGTGTGTGCTGCACCGTAGCCAGCAGCCCTATAACAAAGTCAGTATCGAACCGTTGCTGTCAGCATGATTGAGAAACTCACATTGACATCCGCATAGCAAGGCCATTGCCGTACACGAGCCGTTGCATGTCTCGTGGCCTAGCATGTTGGTTGGGTTCTCCTTTTTCGCTTTCATCGAAAGGCGATACTGCGTCCTCCCGTATAGTATACAAGGACACAGGAGTCCAAGACAACATGTCCCAATGCTAGAACATTCACATAAACCATGACTCCATGTTCCACCCTTGACGACCTGGTTGGGGTGTGCAACCTGCCCCGGTTGATGATAGGACATTGGCGTAGTTGCATGTGGCGCGCTGGTCATGATCGGTGGAGGAAAATGTGGCAGGCGGGGAGAATGCAATGGGTTCTCGTCAGGTGCAACGGTTATCTTTCGAGACTCTGAGAACTGACCTGACGCATCAGGGTCCGTCTTGACTGGAAGTGGATCGGGGCCAGCGCTGTACGAGTATGCTGGTGCAACGGTATCGAACTGCGCTTGTTGTGGCGCATTCTCTGCATAGGGAGCATAGTGCGCAGGGTGTTGCTCAATGGGCGGACTACCGGGGTAGACAGACGCAGCAGACTCATGCTGAAATTGAGCTTTCTCATTGAACGATGGTTGAACGTCTTCAGTTGCCGCGACGTGCTGCTGAACCGGGCAAGCGTCGGGTTTTGTTTCTGATTCTGGCAGTGGTACTTGTCGCTCTATCCTTTGTCGCGAAGGATTCATTTCCAACGGCGTCTCAATGAAAGAGTATCTTTGAGTTCCCTCACCAAAGGAGGTGTCCAATCGTAATTGCCGGTCCATTGTGGTAGTATACTTGCTTCGAGCGACGAACGCCTTTAATCTCCCGTACGGACTGGAAATGCTTAGTTCAGCATAAGCAAACGCTTGGCGACAACCGAAGCGCTCTTGATAGGATAAGGTTGCTTGCGTGCGCTTCGTTCAGCCTGCTGCCGTCAGGTTCATCGCATGCATCAAAACCGTGCAGGCTCTCCTCGCTCCTTGACAGAGGAGGCCAGAAAGAACTGAATACGAGCGCAAGTTCTGAAACCAGATGCAAATGCAATAGTATGATCCGGCGCCATCAAATCGGGGTCATAGAGCCATTAAGTGTCTGCTTCATGGAGTAACAGGCACAACTGAGTGGAGACCAAAAGCGCTCAGATGTATTGTGATCATGCTGCGGGATGGCTGCTTGGTCTCCAAGTGGTCAGAACTCAATGGATCTCGTGCTTTGGGATTATGAGAGCTTGTTGCACCAACTGCTTAGCCTGCAGCAGTCGCGATGACTTCTCACCAGTCACAGCGATCGTTGGCCAGGCGCCCGTTCGGGACATCCCGTTGGACAACTTCTCATCACATCACTGCCCTGTCGTTATCACATCGGATAGTGCCAAAAATGCTGTTCTACCAATGAAGATGGAAGATTAGGAGCAATCTGGATGTAAGCTCACTGCGCCGCAATATTGTGACAGTTTTGAGGGGAAATTGTCTCGTATTTGAGATCTCGCTTTTTGTTGGATTTTTATGCAGTGTGAATGTGTGATTCTCCTGCCTGGTTGCAGACAGAATGAGAACAAAACAGCCAATGAGAGAAAGCAAACCACGGTGAGTTTCTCAATGTTCTTATTCTTGATAGTAGAAGAGCCTTGAGACACGGGACAAATGTGAAAATATATATAAGCAAGCCGACTGGCTCACTCCTTCAACCTCATGTTGCAACACGCACGCAACTTGACACTACCTTTACTTTTTAGCAGATTGAATACCATCGCTGGCTTAGGCTTTGTATTTCTCAAATTCCCTCTTTTTCCTGTTCGATCCTACAGAGTACCAATCAATTATCACCAAAACTATAACTTAAGTGCGGTGTTTATAACAGAATTTTATCTATTCGAAGACAGTGGTATTTTCAATCTAGAATATCTATCTTAGGTCAATTTAAAAGGCAAGTACTATATTTCCTGGCGGCTGTTATATTAGTACTATATCCTCACCGTCAAGATACCTTAAACACCATGACGGGGTCGCAAGAGCATTATCCATGAAGCATCTTATAAGTTAGAGGGGTAATCCAAAGATTCCCGGGAGCTGATATCAGGGAAATTTCCTTGCATACAAACCGCACCAAAACGGGAGGGGTACCAGCGAGCTTATCGCTCAAAGTAAACTGGTCGCTTAGGTCCTCTCCAAGGCCAGGTATGGGCAACAGACGGAGAGAGAACCATGGCAGCTCTTGGCAGACGAGACGCCATAGGTCGAATATATTGCGCCGGCCCTGAGCGTCTACACTCCGGTTTCAGGCATTGCAATTTCAGCCAGGAAGCACTACGGCCATCAGTGGCATCGCAGTGATTGATCGAACGTTGTATGCTGGTATCAAAGTCGTGGTTACCTTCTGAACAAAGTCTCAAGAGCCTGAATGCATAATTGCAGGCAGAAGAGTTCCAGATAAGGAATACTGACATCGAGTATGATCGGCTGGAGGCTGATCGGGGTTATATGTGAGTAATGTGACAGGTCACAGGCGATCACTTACGAGGATAAATGAATCCTTCTGCATGGTTCTCTTTTTGGGAAATTGAGATGTATGGGAAGACTTCTACCAGTCTCTAATATGGAAGGGGGGGTTGGGCATGAGGAGCAGCCCAATAATGTACTTCACCAGATGGAGGAGTAAATGTTCCCAGGGGACGACCTTAGCGACATCAAATATAATGCCGCGATGCTATAATGAATTTGATTGCAAGCAAGGATACACTGTGTCAAAATAGCCAGCATCAGAAGGCTCAGGAAAAGAGAATAGAAATGCAGATGTCTGAAAAGGGACAAACTAACGATATGACGCAAGGGAAGAAACAAGGATACTTCGATAAAACTTTGTTTTCGTGGCCGGTGAGGCTGTGATATTTTATATCTGAAAGTAATGCAATCATCCTCTCATCGACTGTTCCATCTCGACATACCAGTCGGATCGACGGGATATGAGGAGTGGAGTTTCCGGGGAGGAGGAGAGATCCTCGTGGCCAGCAGTTTGATCACGTTGTCTATCTAATGGTTGGCGTTCCTGAGGCTGAACGTCTCCAGCATTCGCAGCTCCTCGGTGAAAACTGGACAGAGAGGAATAGATTATTGATGCTTAAAACGGTATAAACATGATTTATACATCTTGGGTTTTAGAAGCGAAACACTTTTCTTCGATTTGAGAGGATGAAATGGGCCAGGGATTCAGAAAGGTTGTCTCGTTTCTGGATTTCAAATCTTTAGATAGGAGGGTCTATCAAACGCCAGTTTAGTGATCAATTATCAGCGACATCTGACAGTCAAGAATGCCGATCTCACCCTCGTAAGGCATGTAATCTAGCTGGTAGATAGTATGGAGTACGTAAGATAAACAGTGCCTTAGTCTCGTGGGTCATCAGTCAAGCGCTATCGGTACCTACCCAGTAGATAGGGGATATGGGAGATAATTGTCTAGCGACATACCTGAATTAAGGGCTGATGTCTACTCAGAGAATTGGCTTTGGAAATCGAGAATGAGATTTGCACGCTGCTTTCACCACATAATATTCCCATCTCTTTTCAGATTGTTTATGCACCCAGTAAAACCGCGTGGAGATCCAATGGAACTAGAAAGACGCTGGAGATGATTACCCAAAGAGGAATAGAATGGACAAGCCACAGCTCCTTTTTCCTGGGGAAACCCCCAATCTCAGTCATGATTCTGAACTACGACTAGAAAGACTCTTGTTCTTATTGGCATGTTGGACCTGCATTAAGAGCGCCTAAACCTGTCCTTAACTCTATCCTACAAAGCGTGGCTCTTAGCGCCCTGTCTCTCTTAGTTCTTACTGAACCAAGTACTCCGTAGTCAGATAGTAGAGACCCATCAGTGATTCACTGTGTGCTGCTCTGAATGTGAGACCTGTCTAGAACTCTTTACAGTGTCTGATGTAGATACCAATATACAGAAGAGATCGGAAGTAAAGAGAAGACTGGCCCACCATATTCACTTCCATTTGCCCTCTTTGTTATTTTATTTTTTATTTTTATTTTTATTTTTATTTTATTTTTATTTTATTTTTCCCTTCTCCTAATACCATGCTACGATAATGATCCGTCTTCATCCTTTCCATCCAATGCTTTCAAGTATCTAAACCCAATTGAAAGTTTCGTTTCGTTGTTTATCCCGGCATCCTAAGGTCTTTACTATAATGCTTCTCTGATTAAATCATCCATCCTCCGCCTCGCCCTTACTGCTACCTACATACCAATAAACCGACAATAATCACTTCATTCCATAGTTTGTCCAGCCGGACAACTACCTAGACACGAAGTCAATAATACCGCATTGATAACGACCTTCTAATTCTTCAGGTTGTCCCGTCCGACGACTCCGTCGCATTTCGCTGGCCTGTAAGATCATTTCTCCCCGGAACGTGGCTTGGTGTTCCTTGATATTCTCGATGATTTTCCCCTACCGCCTAGCTTCTAGTTCTAACTTAGTAAGAAAACTAAAACCCGGTGACGCCAGAGAATAATCTCCCTCCTCCAAGCCTTCGCTTTCCGCCTTTGAATTGAAACACCAACCATAATCTTCCCTTCAACAACGCCCTTTTTTTTCCCTGCTCGGCTTCTCATTCGATTCCGTGCAGCTACCACACCCCCCCCAACCAATGTCCTCCCCATGTCAAGGCCACCATCTGCGTCTGAGAACACCTTGCCTGACACCCTGGTGACACCTGCTGCGTCTGCCCAACATGATTGCTCTGCACGGCCTGAGCTCTCTTCCGGCAAGCAGCGTCGCCACAACACTCGCGACCAGCAGCTCATGCATCAGGATGTTCAGCAAGCTCCTTCTCCATCCCGCGCTGAATCCCCCACTGCTCATCAATGGTCTAAACCTGCATCTGGCTTTACCCTAAAAAGGGCATTGACTCTTCCCCTGGAGAGGCTCTCCCGCCCTGATCGGTCTCACAGCCCCCAGCTTTCCGAAAGGGATTCCATCTTCGCAACCCACTATCTTCCCTCAGATAACGAAACCAGTAACACACCGCAACTGGGCCCCGTACAAGATGTTGATACTGCCTTGACGACCGACTTGTCTCCGGGACTCGATAATGCGCCCGCTTCGCCAATTTCCTCTTTGAAAATTCCCTTCCGTCGCCCTTCCGTCGATCGCTCCCCCATGGAAATCGAAATTCGTAGAACTCACCCGTTGCGCTCCTCTACCTACGTTTCGCCATCCCTCCCTGTCCATCCCTCGTCACTACGACCCGTTGCTTCAGATGTAGCTTGGGACACACCTCACAAGGAACCGGACAGGAAACTGAACGCTCCTGTCCGGGAGAGTTCGCACCTTCCCGGAAAAGCTTTCCCGGATGGTATTGGCACTAAACACACCCATTTAGAGGATCCCGTTCCCAATCTCAGTCTGATATCTGCCTCTTTGAGAGACTCGCCATCCCATCACCCTGAATATCCGGAACAAATCCGAGACCGGCATTGCGAGACTAGAGTTGAGCGGAGTGCGAGTCGGACCCGACGTGCCAGGGTTGAGAACTCCATTGAGGCCAATCTGACGAATGTGGAGCCTACCTCTCACGTACGTAGCCGAAAGTCTAGTCATTACCTCGGCTTGTTCAAGGAGAATACGACCTCGCCTGACCGCAAAAGAAGGGAGGATAGAGACGGGAAGCACGGGGAGTTTCCGACGCAGGACGAAACGTCGGACGTCACTGTCCTTTCAGAGCCTGAACAGATTCGGGATCGTTCCCACACACAAGCGGGAGATTTGCTGTCAGAGGATGTTGGTCCTCGAACTTCCAAGAGCTCACCTCAGCTCTTACTTTCCGCTGCTCCGTCAATAGGGCCAACCGCATGGCAAGAGAATCGTCCGCATACCCTGAGTGATGATGTCTCCAAACGCCAGCCCAAGTCTCTGCCGCGCAGTTTGCTGGAGGAAATTCGATCTTTCCACTTGACTCCGGGAGGTGGCCGTGGTTCCTCATTCTCCAAGAGTATTCCAACCCAGTATGCTGAAAGGGGCAGAGACTATTTTGCGGAGATTCCACCTAGTGATGGGCTCTCGCCACCAGATACAATTCGAGAACAACGTCGGGACTCGGGGCAATTCGACGATGAAGAAGAGGAACAGATCTCGTCTGCTGTATACTTTCCGCATGAGCGTGTCACTGTCTCCGAAGAAGTCGACCAAGTCGAGCCTTTCCTTGAGAATGAGCCAGACATGGAGCGGTTCGATGAGTCGGCGCCGAAGAGTAGTCTTGCTCTGGTGCCGAAAGTACATACCGTGCCTATTGGGCAGGAAAGCAGTCATGTGGATATATCGCTTCGGTCTAAAAATGAGAGTAGGATTCTCCATGGCGAGCTACAAGACATGCACTCCCCTACACTAGAAGAATATGATCGCAAACCTCTTGGCGCCATTTCAGAACGCAGCGGCGATTACTCTACATGTGAGTCCGAGTTTGCCTCTGCGGATGACAGCAGTGTGTCTGCTCGAGACGAGGAATCGAGCTTGACCGACGATGCTGACGTGACCCCGACCGCTACTCCAACTCAGCGTGCTCGCTTCCCGCGTCCACGACGGAAGCACAGTTCGACAGCACCCGTAGGGGCGGTTGAACTGAAGCCTTATCGACATCAAGTGGGTGGTCATACCACGGTTTTCCGTTTCTCAAGACGTGCCGTCTGTAAACAGCTCAACAATCGGGAGAACGAATTCTACGAGCGAATTGAACGCAGACACCCTGAAATGCTCATGTTTCTTCCCAGGTAAGGCAGGCTCAGCTATAAATATATGATTTGCTTTGACATTCTCTCTACCTTGACTTCTGGACCTCGCTGACAATGATTCCCTCTATTTAGATATATTGGTGTCCTGAATGTGACCTTTTCCAAGAATTCGAAACGTCCCAAAGCTTCGTCAGGAAACAATGCCGAACCCACAGATACTGAACACAGCAAGGAGCTCACACAAGATGAGAAGGACTCAAGGAAAACAAGCATTAGCAAGCCTAGCCAGTCCGGAGACGCGGAGCCAGAACGAATTTTCAGTCAAAAACAAGTGACCGGTGTCATCCCCAAGGTGATACTCGAGAACAACCGCCATATTATTCCGGCTGATCTGTTCATGCGCTGTCAAAGACCTAGGACAGCTGATTGTGCCGCGTCAGGCAGTCGGCGGTCTTTGAACGGGAATCACGCGTCAGGTGGGAAGCAATCGGTCGGTGGATCTACCGCAAGCAGCATTTCTGCTCCAACCTTGGACAAGCCCATCGCTAGATGGGGTGCCACAACCGTGAACAGGAAGTTGCAGGAGCAGGTCCTTCGAGAGGTCTTCAGCCCTCCCGCAATCCATCATCACCGGCGACATGCCCGCGGTCACTTGAATCTGCCAAGGACGTCTTCGGACAGTGGCCGTCGACGGGCCAATCTGTCTGAGGACCAGAGCGCAAGTCTGCATCGATACGCATCAGAGCGCGTTGAAGCAGCATCCAGTTCTTCGGGCATTGATATTTCGAAGCCGTCCAAGGAAAGCCCGGCTCTGTCCTCTTCCGCCTCGACGGCGCTTGAGGCAGGCCATGACCGTCTCGAGAAGGTCCGGACTGAAGAACCACAACCTCGCGCCAGCTCGCTCAGTCGAACCCGGCGGGTCAGGAGACGCCATTCAGGCAGTGGTCTCCAAAGACGGGGAAGCATCAGCTCCAATAAAGGTGTCGGTCAACTCATGTTTTTCGAGGATGATGGCTATGGTGGCGATAAAGAAGATGGTATATTTTCGATGGAACGCGACGCCTCCTTGCTTTCATCTAGCGATCCCCATGTGAACGGCTCCACTACTGCGCTGATTCACAAGAATGATACGTCTAACGATGTACCTTCTGCACCACTGGCCGCCCGCGATAGCCCGTCAAAGTCCTTGCGCCTTCAGGCGAAGGATGATTCTCAAATGACTGTCCCTTCTAATCCCAAGGAGGCTCAAACTAGACAAGACGAAAGGGTACAATTTTTCCTTTTGCTGGAGGATCTCACAGCTGGTATGAACAAGCCCTGCGTGTTGGACTTGAAGATGGGGACCCGCCAATACGGCATAGAAGCCAGCGAGAAGAAGCGAAAGTCTCAAAGGCGCAAATGCCAGTCCACCACATCTCAGCAGCTGGGTGTCCGACTTTGCGGCATGCAGACTTGGAATGTGAGGAAGCAGGAATACACGTTTGAGGACAAGTATTTCGGACGGGATCTCAAGTCTGGGCGTGAATTCCAGGATGCCCTCACACGCTTTCTCTACGACGGCGTTTCTTACAGGAGCGTGGCGAAGAAAATCCCCATCATTCTGGATAAGCTGGCAAAACTGGAGAATATGATTCGAAAGCTCAAGCGTTATCGCTTGTATGCTAGCAGCTTACTGATTCTTTACGATGGCGAGCAAAATCCTACCGAAAAACCTCAAGTCGATGAAACTCACAATGCCGACAAGCGGGCATCTCTTCACCGCCGTGCCTCCGAGGACGGGCACAACAATACCGAAGTACATCTAAAGATAGTCGACTTTGCAAATTGCGTCACAGGCGAAGACGAACTTCCTCCAGATGCTCCCTGCCCGCCCCAGCACCCGGATGATATTGACCGTGGGTATCTCCGTGGACTTCGCTCACTTCGAATGTACTTTCAACGCATTCTCAAGGAAGTCACTCAAGATGAATTTGTTGAGCGGGGTGAAGGCGAAGCTATCGCTCTCCGATCTCGTGATGCCGGTCGCGAGGAATCGACGGACCGGTTCTGGGACGAGAGCGTGCTGGAGGAGGATCCCGGTGAAGTCAGCTTCTGAGTTCCACCGACCATTCCACTAGTCTCTGCCTCAAACGTCTCGGTTTTGAGCGGAGCAATCTTTAATATTCCATTCATCTTTCTTGTTTTCTCATTCCTAATGAATTCTCCGTGCTTGGAGTTAGCGGCTCTGCATTTGATCGGATTTTCAACTCAATGCACCGGAGTATCATGGATATGGCGTCCTTTCTATTTTTGCATGACAGGGTGCTGGGACAACGATGTTTCTGTTTCTGCTATCTTTCTCTTCATTCCTCCTCGCATACTGGACTCTGTCTAATGACATTATCCGCGTGCTATGACGCCGTCATGATCTGAACGGGGATACAGGGAGGTCTTAAGATCATTGAAGTGACGGGTGCTACGATACTTACGATTGATAATGATACCATGCTCGCCTCTTGGGTCTTGTCTATCCGTGCCTGGAGCATCATAGAGGAGGATCATCTGCTCGGGAGCATCTTTTATTCTGATGGTGTGTATGAGATCATAATTTTCCTTTTCGGCTTCATTTCTTTCCAATTGTTGTTCTCTTCTCGGACATGTCTTAGTGATTATTATACCCCTCGGGAACCTGCCCGAGTCCCTGGGTTACTGTTTTCCCTTCTTTCAGACTGCAAGCATGGGACGCATTCGGATTGTTCATGTACATCGATGAATACCAATTTAGATAGCTCAAATCGTGTAAATCCGTAATTTTTTAACACCGTCTACCCTTCTGTCATGAATCTTGCTTGTACATGACTCAGCATAATCAGCTGATGACCAGGCATGATCATGTGCTGTCTGTTTGTTTAGGGAACTGTCACGTGCACCGTTGATAAGCGGTGTATCTCCTCTGATGACGTGCGCTTGAGACCCTGTCAACAAGACAACTCACGGCTCCTCCATCCATGGCATTGATCAACAGTGTTCAAATAGCGCGCTCTAGAATTGCCAGCGCCCTCCTTGCATCTTGACTATTTATTCAGTATCACAATAATAAACTGCTGCTTGACCTGACGGGGCCGCAGGGAGAGCCGACTTTCGTTATCAGGTGGTCGATTGCTTATCCCAGCTGGCCTGGAGAACTGTCCATCTCACTGAAACGCCGCTCTACAATCTGCTGACGGCAGAGGTATACTTATCGCGTATATATATTACAGTATAATAACTTCTCAGCCGATTGTGCTTTGTTATTTGCTACCTCCTGGCACTCCATAGAGCTACAGTTGATATACAAGCACAATGGCAGGGCCTGATCAACAATACGAGCCAGCAATTGATAAGCGGGACTTTGATGATCATCGACCCCTACTCCATGACATCGATGCCGGCGTCGATGGGACTGGAGAAGGACGGCCGCGATCTGATTCGAGACTGTCCGCCATCCGAAATCTCGACGGCGGCAGTGAAGGCCTCTTGAACAATGTGATTGACGAGATCGTCGAGAGAGACCGTCGTAAGATGGCAATGGAAGTGATGCGTGTATGCAGCTTTGTGGTGGGGGTGATCAGCTGGTTGGCCGTCCCCTTTCTCGCAGTCCGTAGATGCTATCGTTTGACCGTCGTTGTAAATGTACTGACAGTAAGCGTGGTCGTTTAGTCTTGGAGCCGGCAGCATCACTGCCTTTTCGCTGTACGGGCCTCTTTTCCTCACTCGGCTCCATTACAGTCAGCTTCAGGTGAACGCCGTTTCTATCGCGGCGGAGATCTCGATGTACCTTCCCGTGCCATTGTTCGGTTACCTTTGCGATCGGTACACGCCCTCTCCGCTGGCGTTGCTATCAGGGCTTGTCTTTGGAGGAGGTTACCTGCTGGCTGCCTTTGCATATAGGAGTGGCCCGCTTCCTGAGGCGGGCGGAGAAGGATGGCCGCCCTGGGTGATGGTTGTGGCATTCGTTGCTATCGGGACGGCTACAAGCTGTATGTACCTGGCTGCGGTGACAACGTGCGCTAAGAACTTTGGTCGCGGCAAACACAAGGGTATCATGCTTGCCGTCCCTATTGCGGGGTTCGGTCTGAGTGGCATGTGGCAGAGCCAGGTAGCCACATACGTGCTATGTGAACGCCGCGAGGATGGTAGCCGTGGTGACGTAGATGTCTTCCGGTACTTTCTGTTCCTTGCCTTGTTTCTCTTCTGCCTGGGAGTCATTGGCACTTTCGGATTGAGAATTGTTGACGAGGAAGAGGACAAGTACATTGATGAGGCTGTCGAGGAGCTCGAGCGCAGCGGTCTCCTCGAGGAAAGCGAGTTCTTCCGGCCTCGAAGCGAAGTGCAGGCGGCTTATGGCACGTTTTCCGAGGCTGCTGACAGAGATGTGCCGGACCCGGAGCTATCATTGACCCTCTCTGAAGAAGAACGTGAAGCGGCGCGACTCGAGAAGGAAAGAGAGGAGGAGGAACAGAGGAAGAAGAACTGGTTGCTGAACTTCGAAACGCGACTATTTCTGCAAGATCAGACCATGTGGTGGCTTGCACTCGGCTTCTTCCTGGTCACCGGTCCAGGAGAAGCGTACATCAACAACGTAAGTCTACCTCCTACTATTCCAGTAGACGATAACTAATTGGCCTCCTAGTTGGGCACAATCATTCAGACACTCACGCCGGAATTATACCCTCCCAATGCTCCGCCTCCAGCAGGTCTGCCCTCTACACATGTGACTACGATAGCGCTCACGTCCACTATAGCCCGACTGCTGACAGGATCTCTCTCGGACTTCTTCGCCCCCCCGGCCACTCATCTGTTCCCGGCAAACATAGAAGCTGGCCGTCGCTCCTCGTCATCAGATTCGGCCGCAAACAGGCCCACCCTCTCGCGACTCGCCTTCCTTCTGCCCTCAGCCCTCCTCCTCTCCGTCGGCTATCTCCTCCTCTCATCCCCCTTACCCCTCCAGCATCCAGGTCTCTCACACGTAACAACCGCGCTGATAGGCCTAGGCTACGGCAGCGCCTTCTCTCTCGTCCCCATCATCATCTCTGTCGTGTGGGGAGTCGAGAACTTTGGCACAAACTGGGGCATCGTGGCCATGGTCCCTGCTGCCGGTGCCGCGATGTGGGGAGTCATCTATTCGCGAGGATACCAGGACGCGACGGACGGCGGGAACGGCTCACCGGACGGACAGTGCCATGGCTGGCGGTGCTACGGGTTCTGGGCCGTCGGATGCACCCTCAGTGTGTGGGTGGCTGTAGTTGCGTGGATACTTGCCTGGAGGGGTTGGCGACGAAGAGGCGTTGTTGTTTGATACATTCTTCCATCTTTGGCGTTTGGAATATTCTGGATTTGTCATGGTATAGAGATATAGCATCTCTATGAGGTGGCGGGTTCCCTTTTGGCTAAGTTTGTTATTTTCGGCAGCTAGATGAGCGAGAGACACATGTAACATATGTCTGCATCTATTGAGTCCTGATCACGATGTATTTGCACATTCTAGCAACCGACGAAACCTAGTCCATACCAAGGATAACATATGCCAACATCCTGGCAACAATGACGACCAGAAAGAATAGAGGGGTATTCATGTACAACATGGGAACAAGACCAAGTTCAATAAACAGATACAGAGCAAGCCAAATCAGATATTCGTAGAGGAGGGATCAAGACCCATAAACACCTTGTACAGCCGTTTACTCGCAGCCGGGCCGATGCGCGAGTCCGTCAGGGCACCGTTCTTGTTTGCAGATTTCTTCAAATCAAGTTAGCAAAATTCAAAACGTGAATTGGGGTAGATAGGGGCTAAGCGCATAGCATACCTTGACATCTTCCAGCATGGTCGGCCCATGCCGGCGCATCCCTCTCACCAAGTCCACGACGGAGGGATACCTCGCCGCGATGCCATAAGCCATGGACGCAGTGACGCGATTCACCTCCTGGAGCATCTTGACAAAGGTATCGGCCTTGTCCTCGCCGGGTTTGACCTGTCCGGTATCCATGCAAAAGGCCGAGTCGTTGGTGTCCATGCGCTCGCGCTTGTACGGTATGGTCGAGATATGCTCGGTGAAGTTCTTGATCCATTCTGCTGACTCGGCCGCAGCGCTGGTGTGGTGGATGAGGCAGGCGTGTGTGACCTGCAGCTCAAGGAGGGCGTCTTCGATGGTATCGTCGTCGACGGGCCGGGTGGACTCGGCGGTTTTGGCGGGTGGTTTTCTGCGGCGGGTTGAGGAGGACGGATCGTCTGGGTTCTGGTTCTGGTCGAGTTGCCGACGGACCTGGGCTTGGAAGGCTCTGTTGCGGGAATTTTGGTTCTTGCGCATCCACGCGGCTAGGCCTTCGATGAGGTAGATTAGTTTGTGGCGTGGGTAGGCTTTTTTGATGCGGTCGAGGTGCAGTTCCAGTTCGCTTATGCCTGTTACCGGGTCCGCGGGCGCGATCACCATGTTGACGAACTCTTGTGCTGTCACGAGGCAGAGGACGTGGTCTTCTTCGCGGATATGGTGCAGACATGGCTCCCAGTGGCCGGCGGCTTCGTTGTACTTGGCTGTGACCTTCCGGCGCCACTTGACGATATTCGGGATAGAGCTCGTGAAGAATGTGTGCTCGACTCCCAGCCGTTTCATGAGTTCAATGCTCTGATTGCCAACACTCGTTTCCCTAAGCGAGGAAGCGAGATCGAGGATCATCTCACGCGTGGACTCCTTCTTGTCTACCTTGAGCTTATTGACCTCCGCCAAGTCCGCGGCGAGCTGCTTTTCCCGAGCCTTTTCCTCTTTGAGCTTCTTCTGTCTTTCCTTCTCGAGTTGTTTCTCATGTTCCCGCCGCGCCTTTGCGGCCTCTCGCTCTTTAGCCCGCGCTTCTTTCTCCGCGGCGGTCAGCTTGGTTGTCCTTCGTCCTGGCTTGCGAGGTTCAGCCACTACCTCGGACAGATCATCGTCCAGGTCAAGGACATCGCGTTCCTGAGATTTTTTGGAGGGACCTGCGGCTCTTGATTTCGTCCTACTCCCGGTACTACTGGTAGCTTTTGAGCGCTCCTGCAGACCTGCAAGCAGACTGGCCGTTCGACTGGAAAATAGCGAATTTCCATGACCAGATTCCTTCTCTGCTCTAGCCTGCCTCATTAACTCGTCAATATCCGGCATTACAAGCTGGTCACTGAAGTCTTCGATGTGGTCTTTCCCGGTGGCGGCATCGTTGAAAATATCGACATCTGCATCGTCACCGTCATCGTCAATCGTAATCGTGTTAGTTTCTCCGAAATCCGTTTGACGGGCCGTAAGGGGCCTCGCTCTGGGCACAGGAGCAGGCGAAGTAAACACAATAGGATCCGACTCCTCGTTCCACGCCGGGATCTTCAGTGTTGAGGGTCCGTCAGACGGCAAAGCGACGTCATCATCGGAGAACAGAGACAGATTTGTCGTCGAGAGCTGAGCATCTACTTCCGGTGGAGACTCAATCTCCTCGCTTAAGCGACGTCTCTTGGCCGGTTTATCTATATCATCGTAGGCGAAAAGTGATTCGATATCATCCGATAAGAGAGGCGGACGACCCGAGGAGAGGGGCGGATCGGATGGAAGTGTAGCCACTAATCGCTGTCGGGGTTGAGATGCTGGGGGCGGCGGCGTCGAGGACAGGAGGTTGATAACCTCTGGCATTTTCCTCGTTGAAGAACACCGAGGTTGTGGATTAGTTGATGCTTATCCGAGTTCGCTGCGACGTTTCTCCAGTTCTCACGCGTTTCGCGGTTCCCCCCGCGTTGCCATTGCGCGAAGTCACGTGATATTAACCATAAATGGTGTACGGAGTACAATTGAGATTGCTAAATACAAACAGGAAAAGAAGGGGTATTATACAAATTTAGATCACCTTTACGGCCCACACGGCGAAAATAGAAGACACAATGCCCAAAAGGGCGAAGGCGAAGATTAGCAGGTGGAATCCGCTGAATGGTCGTCTTTCCTTGCTGAGCATGTCCGCAATCTCCTCCTCAAGCCTGTCACCCATTGCAGTCAGCGAGAACTCCTTCTCCACCCTCGCCTTGCTCGCGGCCGACATGCGGTCCAAGTCCTTCTGATTCATCCCGTAGAGAACCCGGTCCATGACCGCAGTCCAATCAGCGACGACCGTTGCATCCCGTAGCCAGCCCGTTTCGCCCTCCACGATAGTTTCCAACGGCCCGCCTGTATTCGATGCGAGAACTGGGATCCCAGCGCGCATGGCTTCGACGGGGACAATACCAAAGTGTTCGTTGATGGGAGTGTAGAGAAGCAGTTTCGCCTGCGAGAGGAGCGTATCACGGAAGGCGGTTGGTACGGACAGCAAGAAAAGGACGTCGATCGAGTCAGGGATGGATAGGGCAGAGATGACCGTTTTAGAGGTCGCGGTCTGCAATCCCAAACTCGTGGCAAGCTGGTCTAGTTCTCCATGGTATTGGACATTCTCCTGGACGCGATTGTCGTAACCGCCTGTAGAATACCCTCAGTCAGTAGCTGCTCTTCCCATTAGGAAGAGAAGGAACCTACCAGCAACCACCAACCGCGTCCCCCTCCGCTTCTCCTCCCCAAGACCATGATACGCACGAATGGCCAACGCCAAGTCCTTCTTCCTCTCAAACCGATTCACGCTCAACAGGATCTTCTTCCCACCCCACAACGGCCCCTCCTCAGCCCCAACCGGCGCCCCAGCCTTGGTATCGACGCAGGGATAGACAATCCGAACATCCCCCAGCTTCTCCTTCCCAAAGACCTCGCTCACGATCCCGCGCGTGAACTTCGAGTTGGCAACGACCTTATCCGACGCGCTCATCGCCCACCCCTCAAACCAATCAAACGGATACCGATAGAGCGTCTTCGCAAGCCGCAACAGCTCCCCGCCCTCATTCCGGCGCGCAAGCAATTGATCAGGGAAATGGCAGTAGAAGAGGATGCGCTGGCGAGTGCGACTGCTGCGCACCGCGCGCGGGCCGAGCGTTTTCAGAAGCGGCACGCAAGCGGGGACCTGGTCGACAATGAAGATGTCGTCCTTTTCTTCAGTTGTCGCAATCTCCCTCAACACCGACACCGTCAGATGCAACTGCCGCAGAACGGCCATGAGGACGTGTAGGCGGCCGCCGACATGCGCGGGGAAGAGGGAGTTGCCGCGCACGCGCACGTCGAGCGTGCCATCGCGCGCTTCCTCGAAGCAGTGTGATTTGTCGCGGTGGGAAGTGTAGATGGTGACTTTGTGGCCGCGGGACTGCAGCGCCAGCGCCACGTCGATGATCAGGCGCTCCGCGCCGCCGATTCCCAGGTCTGGGTGGATGATGGTGACATTGGAGGGTTTGAGGCGGGCCATCTTCGCCTAGAGAAGTGTGTGTGCGTGATTTGCAGCAATTGCTGCGTTGTTGGCTGAGCTTCAGCTTGAGCTTGAGCTTGTGCTTAAGCCACGGGGCACGACGTCATGTGATGACGCATCCTGATCCTCTTATCCACTCCGTATCTACTCCGCATGCCCTCAAAACAAACATCACTCATTCTATTACTCTATGTCTGTATAAGACCTGATCAAATCCTACCAGTACCATCCCTCTTCACCAAGAACATCCCCTCACAAGTCACGCAAACCCCTCCCCCCTCCCCTTCCCCTCCCCCATCCGCCTCCGCAACAAAAATCTCCCCCACCACAAAAATCTTCCTCCCCTCCACCCTCCCAATCTCCGCCCTCGCAACAACAACCCCCGGAACCTTCACCGGCGCTTGATAATTTACATTCAAATAAACCGTAACCGCCCCCCGTCCACGATCTAACCCACTCGCCCGGATCAAAGTTCCAGTAACCTGGTCCAGGACTGTAGCTAGGAACCCGCCGTGCGCGATATCGGGCTGCCCTGATACGCCGGCGCCGAGGTGGAGGAGGAGGTAGCCTCGTTCTCGTTTTCGTTCTTGCTCTTGCGGGTGTGGGTTAGTGGCAGCGCGGGTATCAGTATCGTTTGAATCTGAAGATGTTCTGGGGTGAGCCGGTTGGTAAATGAAGATAGACTTGAGGATGCTGTTGTTGGTCCGGAGGGTCGAGTGGAAGAAGGCGTCTGGGTTGCGCGGGTGGATGACCCTCAGGTCTGGCTGCGCAAGAATCTCGGCGCATTTGGGGATGGTGTTGAAGAAGGGGAGGGTTTCTCTTGTAGAGGTAGGATCTGAACTAGAGGTAGCTGTCATGGTCTTCCGGCTGGCTTGTCGAATGGTGTTCGGGATAGTGATTAGCCGAGTCGACCGATTTGCTGAGTCTCTGGAAGCGATGAAAGTCTCGTTGTCTAACGTAGGAAGGCTTCCTGGACTCAATTGTATTAGAATCTATGGATTCAAGATGCGTAAGAATTTCAAGGACGTGATCCCCTTCTCTGGCCTACCGCGGGTTAGATCAATATGGTGTATACCGAAGAACCGAGGCACGTCCATGCGGAGGTCCAAGATTCTGGGCTATGGTCCGGACTATGGAACTATGGGGACTATGGGGACTATTTAACAAATCTTGGTTCCTTTCAAACTACTACCCTACATACAACAAGGCAGACTACAAACGACCTCCCAGCAGTGGCAGTGTGGAAATAAAGGACTATAGACAGAGTGGAACAAAGAACTTAGACAGGAGTGACCACAGGCCGTACGTTCTTTATGGCATACGAGTAATAACAAAATATACCACAATAGGGTTTCTGAAGACGTAATCACAGGGTAGGCAGAAATGTACAGTGTCAACCGACATAGGCAAATTGCCCAGAAGAAGCGTATTTAATGACCCGTGGTGAAATCAGGCGTTGGAGGCTGGGGGTTATCCGAAGGGAAAAGACTCAAAATGAAAACAAAAAAGGTATCAACAAATCAAGAAGGGGAATCGACGTCGAATTCATATTACACAGGGCGGGCTTTGAACATGGGGAAACGTCACGTCCGAGACACTAAAATTGAACGATCCAAAAGAATCCAAAGGGTACGATGGATTAAAAGCAATTGAGCGTGCTCTTCTTCTTCTTTTTGTTCAGCGCATTCATCCGCTCTTCGAGCTGGGCTCGAGCAGCCTCGGCTTCGCGTCGGGCATTGCGTTCTTCCTCGACGGCCTGAAGCGACAGGCGCTGCGAGTTGCGCTCCTTGCGTAGAGTCGTCAACTCCTCCTCCAGTTGCCATGCCTTCTTCTTCCAGGCCTCGCAGTCGGTCTTGACCTTGTTGCTCTGCGCTTCAAGATCACCCAGAGCTTCTTCCAAAGTAGCAGTGAGTTGCTTCTCCGCATTGAGGTGTTTTTCTATCGTGCGGATACGGGCCTCCTGGTCTTCAACAATCTGGACACTGACCAGCTCCTTGCTGGTGTGGCGAGAGCTTGGAGGTGAGACACTACCGTTGGTGGCGGACTGTATAGTCGGCAGGGGAGGGAGAGGAATGGCAGGTGGCGGCGAAGGAAGAGAGGCTGCCGAAGTACTCTTCCGCAGATTCGAGGTCAAAGAACTGGTACGGTCATGCGAACCATCCTGGCCGGTACCATTCTTGAGTTGAAGCTAGATTTCATTAGTCGGGATACGATTTCACAATTTATTTCACTGCAGGGTTTACCTCAAGTTGTTCAATCCGCATGCGATATGTCTCAATCTCTTTCTCATACGTGGCAATCTTGGCCTTGGCGTCTTCCAAGGCCTGATCGCGCTCATGCTGGATGACGGAGAGACGGTTGTGGTGTTGGTCGAAGCTGTTGGTAATCTGCTCCTCGAGTTCCTCCACCAGACGCAGGCTCTTTTCTTTCTCGGCGGTGATCTCCTCAATGAGTGCATCCTTCTTCTTAATTTGCTCTTCCTTACGCTGTAGGGTATCTTCAAGAGTGGCGACGAGGATGGCAAGCTCATTCACCTTTGCATCTTTGGTAGCCTCGCGCTGGGTAAGCTCTTCCAACTTGCTGGCATCGCTCTCCTTGGCTTCGAGCTGCTTGCGAAGATCTTCATTTGCATCCATCAGCTCGGCATACTTATCGGAAAAGTGTTGCTTTTGCGTGAGGATATCTTGGATCTGGTCTGCAAGGTTGTCTGCGGTGACATCGGAATTGAGCAGTTCTGAAACCATCTTCAGCAGTTTCAACAGCTCATTCCGCGATGTCTCAATTTCAGATCTCAAACTCTTCATAGCCTCCTCGTGTTCGGCGTTCTTCTCAGCGATCCGCGAGTCATACTCAGCTTGCGCCGCAGCCTTCGCGCGCTCCTCGAGTTCTGCCAATTCATTCTTATGCGATTCCTGCAGAGACTCGAGGTCCTTCTTGTGAGATTCAGCGGTCGACTTGTGCATCTCAATCTCTTTCTCCAGTTCAGACACACGAGACTGGAACCCTTCAACCTCACCGCTGGTACTGTCCTTGGTCGCGAGGAGATCTGACAGCTGCTCCTGCGCTGTTTTGTGCGATTGCTCGAGAGCAGAAATCTTCTCAAGATGAGCCGCGGCGGTAGCCTCGTGCTCTTCGATCTTCTGCTTTAAACTCTCAACCAGCTCTTGCTGCTGTGACCTCTCGGCCTCCAGCGCTCTGGCGGCAGCCTCCTTCGCAGCAGAGGTCTCGTCCACGGCAGCACGCTCTGAGCGCATGGCATCTGCGGTTGCCAGTGCCTTGTCCAGGTCGGCCAAGGTGGCACTGAGTTGCTGCTCGGAAGCCTGCAACGATTTGACGGCGTTCTCATGCTTGCTCTTCCACTCCACCAATTCACCTTGAAGGTCGTCGATCTTCTTGTCTTGCTCTTCCGCGTGCGCATCCTGAGCCTTGGCAGCTGCCTCCTGAGTTTTCAGAAGATCCTTCAATTCGGCGATCTCGGCGAGCAGCTTCTTCTCGCGCGACTCATGCGCCTCCCTGAGCTCGTTGATCAGGTTCTCCTGCTGGACTACCTGATCCCGCAACTGCGAGACTAGGCCCATGTCCGCAGACGGTGTACCCCCTTGTAAGCTGGACCGCTCACGAGTGAGGCCAGAGATGATGGTCGCCTTCATCTCCATTTCTTTCTTCACGCTCTGGTTTTCTGCCTCCAAGGACTGAATGCGTTCCATGCGCGAGTGCAACTCATGCATCGCCGCATCAAGATGAACCTCGAAGTTCTGCATTGTGTCGGGCTGGCCTTCGAATTTTTCTACCGCGATGTTCTTCAGGGCAGCAAGCGAGCGATGCGCACGATCCACCGTCGACATGAGGCTCTGGCTGCTCTTCCTCCGGATGACATTCGACTTGAAGCCCGGGGTTGTCGGTGGGGAGGCAGATTTGGATTTCTGAAGCTCCGTTTTGAGCGTCTCCACCAGAGCAAGGGCACCTTCATGCTCGGCCTGCAGCTCGGCATACTTTTGGGTCATAAGGTGAACACCTTCCTGGTGCTCGGAAAGTAGCTGACGCATCTGCTCCATTTCGAGCGAGTTCGTCTCATTGTGGGACGCCTGCGAGTCCACAGGAATTTCTGCGGCGGGCTCAGGATGCCCGTTAGTAGAGGGTTCTTGCGAAGCAGCAGGCTCCCCGACCAAGGATAACTCCGAGGAGAGTGATTGCGAGAACGAGTGTTGTTTTCCACTCTTCGAGTCGGGGGCCTTCGCATCCTCTAAAAAAGACACTGGTCGAGAGGCAGTGACTGGGGAAATGAGTCCCTGGACGGCAGAAGCCGGATGGCGCGCTTCGTCGGCAGCGTCCTGTTTCAGTTTGGCTAAAGCCCTGAGTGCCTCTTCATATTTGGTCTCCAAAAGTTCATATTGGTTCACCGTGTTCTCGTGCTGCAGGCGCAGGTCCAAGAGCTCTTGGGAGACGGTCTCAAGCTTATCAGCAACGATCTTCGACTCGGTAAGGCTAGGAGTCTGGGCTCGAGGCTCTGCATCAGGATCGGCCTCTAAACGGCTTGTTACCCTTTCCAAAACCTCCAAATCAGAGCCATCAACGTGGGCAGCTGTCGCCGCTTCAACATTTGATTCTTCTTCAATGTCTGGGACGGTTTCCGCGAGATCCTCGTCTGATTCAGGAATCGCCGTTTCGGCGGCTTCGGTCAAAACTTCGAGAGTGGTGGCTCTCTGACGGGAATTGCGGGCGCTCCTCACAGCAGCCGAAGACTCCATTTCTTCCTGGATGTCATCCTGACTGGTGCCGTTCTGGTGGACATGGTCCAACTCATAGAGAAGACTATCGAGTTTGCCGAGACTCCGCTGACGCTCAATTACATGTTCCAAGCGCTCAACCTCTCGCTGCATGAGCTCCATGTCTTGGTCGGCTTCGGCGAGACGCTCCTCCAGTGTCGAAATGTAATCTTCGCATCCCGCCTCGCTTTCGCGCGCACGGCTGAGTTCCTTGCGCAGCTCCGCAATGATAGCCGTGTACTTCTCCTCGCCCGAAGACTGGCCATCGAGCCGAGACTCTAACTCGTGCATATAGGACTCGGTGCTGGCTTCACGGTCCATAAGTTTCTGGAGACGCGCTTGCAGCTGGGCATTGACAGTCTCGACATAGGCACATTTGGTCTCACGTTCCAGAAGAGTGCTCTCAGTCACCGCCAAGGAGGATCGCGTGTTGGATAAGGAGGATTCAAGGCTTTGAATTGTTTTCTCATACTCGAGGACGACCTGTTCGACGGATTGGGCAAAAGAGTGAGACCGCTTCAGTCGCTCAACAGAGCTCTTGCCAACGGCCGAGGCAACATCATCTGCTTCTCCATTGGTGGAGTGCTCCGAATCGCGAGCGAGTTCGGAAATGAGTTTGGCATGTCGCTGGCTCAGCGCGTTATAACTCTCTTGTACGTCAAGCAATTGGTTCTGAAGCTCCTTCTCCCTCTCATTTTGACGCTCAGCCCTCTCTTGCGGTCCAGCAGCTCGTCGGTCATTGTCCTCGGCGATACGGATCTGCTGTCTCAGGAAAGCAACTTCGGCCTTGAGCCTCTCAATCACTGCGTGCTTGTCGCTTTCGTCAGCAATATGCTGGATTTGCGGCTTGCTCTGGATAGCCCTCGCCCTCTGTGCGTATTGCACAGTATTGAGAGTTTCACTGAGGTGGAATTCCGCAGGCGTAACACAAGCAACCATATATGTATAAGCATTGCCGCCGAGAGAATCTTGGAGTAGCCGGGTGAGCTTCGAATCGCGGTAGGAGACATGAGCGCCCGATTGACGCGAAGAAAGCTGAGAGATGACCTTGCCCAGGGCAGCTAGACCAGCATTGATGGATATACCCTCCCTTGCGCGTTCGCCGGAAGCACCAGTGTTCTTCAGCCGTTCGCTTCCTGCCAGATCAACAAAGTGCAGCTTGCTATCGACCGTGACAGAAGCATCCGAGCCGGAAAGTACCTCGACCGGCATGGACATCCGTTTCTCTTTCGGCGATGTAATGGAGGCCGCTGACTTACGTTGGACAAGATTGAGACTGAAAACTGCGTGGGATCGGGAGGACTTTGCGTTGATCGCGGTTGAATCCGTCTGGCGAATCGAGGAACCGAAGCTCAGGGCATTCATCAAATCCTCGAATGAGTTGATATTGACTTGGTGCAGGCCGGTCAGAATGATGCGACCTTTGGCATCCTCGCGGATCGCTACCGAGCCGCGATCACTCATAGGTGTTGATTCAGGGAGGAGGAGATCTCGCAATTGCTCGTTGTAGATCTGCATGCATGTTAGCGAACAGTTTCGACTGCAAGGTCGAAGTTGACCCTAAGGTGTCGTACTTCCACATAGCTGGCTTTCAACTGCCAGTTCTTTTCGGCAGTTGCGCGCCCGAAGCTCGAAGTAGAGCTGATCGAGTATCGAGCCGGTGTCCGAAGGCCAGTCGAACTGTTGCGATTGTGCTTAGCCGGGCCGTCCAGTTTCTCAAATAGGAGTTGGGCCGCGCGAGGGATGATTCCTAGCAGTAGTATCAGCAGTCTGAATGAGATGAATAGTCCAATCAAGCCTAACCCATTGACTGTGTATCGTGTTGCTCGCTGGGACCAGACGTTCCCATGGTGTACGATTTGCCGGCACCCGACTGGCCGTAGGCCAAAATGGAAACATTGTAGCCCTGGAGAAACGAGCTTACGCTGTCGCTAAGGTATTCCCAGATGCCATTCTGATCCGTCGTTTCGGGAAAGACCCGATCAAACACGAACAACTTCCGACCTTGTGGGATATCGACCGCAAGACTCGTCGGTGACGTGACATGAACCATAGATCGCTGGAAACGTTGCGGAATCAATTCGTACCCGGGATCGGTGGGTTTCAGCGGGGGTCGTACACGGACCGCTATAATCACATCAGCTTCCTGGTTCAGATACATGACCTCCCTTGTCCCTCGCGACTTTTCCATGGTCAGGGGCCATTCCCAGGACACATACCGACTTTGACCGCTGTTTTCCCATCCTCGTCGGAGGCCCGACTTCCTCCACCGACTTTACTGCTCATACTCAGACGGCTGTTACTTCGCGGGGTCCGCATGATGCCACTGAAAGGCCGCTGCGGCGTAGCCGTGGTGGGCGAACCCGGCGGCGAGACCGTCATGTTGGTTTACCGAGGTGGACTGCAATGCGCGATTGACGTCAGGGAACCAGAAGGATCGACTCGAACTCGAACGCAATGGATGAGTTGTCAGAAAGCGGACAGAGAGGGCGTCATGAGTCGTAATCGTGGAGTGGTCAAATGATGATTCGTTGCGTGTTGTTTTTGTCGTTTCGGTGCTGAGTTGGCCGGGCAGCCTTTCGTCAGAAATGCGCACGATTTGTCGTCCTGCGGCAATCGGCGAGCTTGAGGATAAATTGATAATTCTCTATGTGCAGTGAAAGCGGAAGGAGGGAATTGTGATGAGTTCTGTGGATAACGAGAGACAGATAAGCATTAGTTTTAGGATGGAAACCCCTGAAGGATACGGCCGCCAATAAATCAATTATAGAGTTTGGGGTGTCCGGGAATGCGCACACCACCGCAGAGAGACAAGGAAACATACATACACAAAAACTTGAGACAGGCCCAAGGAGTGAGGATCTCGCAGAATGAGGATAAGAATGAGCGAAAAGAAAAAGGTAACCTCCCTACAGAGCAAGAAAGGAGAGGAAAGGAAGGGAGTGAAGGAGGGAAAAGAAGAAGCCTCCGTGCCAGGTGCGGGAATGGCCAACTGTAAGTAGTACCTAGGTAGTCGCTGGCTAGTTGCTAGACTACCTAGCGATAATCCAATGCTATTATTATTATGGTGAGATGAGGTACATACTGAACTCCTGAGAAGAGCCGGCAGCGGACGGACTAGATAGACTAAACAACCTCTTTAGACGGTTAGCCGACCTACTAAAGAGGTGCTAACGCCTATTCAAGTAGTGCTGTAATCCTGGACTGAGACTGAGACGAGTCAAGACTTTGAGCTGGAGGTCTGGAGAGGTTTGCAGCGAACGAGAAAGCGAGGCCTGCGCTGTTTGACTGAGTGGCCGAACTTTACCAGGGCGGGTTAGAGGGTGTATCAATGTGACGACTCCCGTCTCAATCTAACACCAGGGCGAGATTGGCAGCCACATCATTATTAATAAGGGACATCATTCAGGTCAATCTTTACCAATTACGTGGAAATCTCAAATTGTGTCTATAATTATTATCGAATCCATTGAAGAAGGAAGGATATCATGAAGAGAGGTGGTGGTCAGTGGAAACTCATCCAAAATACATCGGTTGTACCGTACCTTAATACCTCATTCAACTCAACCTTACGACTCCAGGAGGACGCCAGGGGAAAACCAGTGGGGACTGGACCAGTTAGGCCTAGACTGGCACAGAGAACGACCGGGGGAAGGATTCATTTTTTTTTTTTTAATATGAACCGTCTCAATGATCAACTGTCTCAGACAAGAGTCTACTACTAAGCCTGCTGTGCCCAACTAGACGCCTTGTCCGGTGCGTTCCTGGATCGGTTCGACAACAGTGCACTACCATACCGTACTACTGTCAACCACGGCTTCCCACATGGCACGGAATGAGGTTCCACGGTTTGCTACAGTGGAGTAACGGTGGACACTCGATAAATTAATCCAGGAACCAGAAGCTTTGCCTTGGTGGCTTGGTGGGATCGGATATCCGCATGTTTCTTTGCCGGGGGATGCAATAATTATCGAGTCGTGATAATGCATAAAGTTCGTTTGACATTATGGTTGCCTCTGGGATTGACCTCGACAAACGTGACTGTACTCGATAGTCGAGTACCGTTTGTTCGATTATTGATATAATCAAGTAGGGATGAACCCATGGCCCATGTAGATGCTCCGTATATGAACAGAGTAGCTAGGATGGCCGTTATCCACCGACCACATGTCATCGCATGTTCCTGAATCTGTCACTGCGAAACGAGAAGTTAAATCAGATGGTGAAACCATCGGTGATTCAAGTGCTGTCAAGCGGGACGATCCTAACGGCTAGGTCCTTGCCATTTGGCCGAGAGTCAGAGACCAACGACTGAGGTCTGTATTCACTGTTCAAAAAGCGATATCAACTTATCAAGTCAGCCTTAGTAGAAATCCTACGGCTTAATTGTACACTTTGTAAGCCTTGTCCTCTTTCCACAAACAAATGATCGTAGATCTTCGCAAGTTCGCAACAACCCCTCATTTGGGTCAAAACTTCCAGCACAAAGGAACCAAATGTGAAGCGATTCGCTGATCCGCTCATAATCTCTCATGTGAGTTGCACGAAGCAAGAAAGAAAACTAGCATAAGTACTTCTTAAGTATACTGAAATCTATCTGAAATGACAGCTGACTAGAAAGTTGGTTCTTCCCGACCTGAACTTTACAGTGCACCTTAAATTTCGATCGCCATGTCACATCTGCTAACAAACGGGCTGGGAGACAAAAAAGGAAATCAAGTTGACCATCGCATACTTACGAGGAAGCTGAGATCTGCCACGAGGTTGATGTCTTAGACGAGTGAAAGGATTCAGTTATTATTATTATGATCAACCGACATAAGCTACAGTCATACTAATCAAAATCATTGGACACTCTTCTCATCCAGAGGTGCCTTAGTCTAGACTAGGTCTTCTAATCCATAATAGGAACTCGAACACCATAGTCCTAAATACATGCCAGAGATTCCCCAAATCTGTCCACTTTCATCGCCAAAAGTCAAATCCTCGCAATATCCACAGACGAGCTGTTGGACCGTGCTCTTAAGCTCCTTCAGTACGAGTATTGGCAGCCCAATTAACCCAGTCCATGAACGTATCAAAGCCACGGCAAGCCATCCCCCACTTAAAAAGCTCATCGAATCTGAATACGGCTCGTCAAACACTCAGATAGAATCATAAGCAAGGGGCGCATTGAGATACGCCACAGCCCTCGGATCCCGGCTCGCAATGCAGATATCTGACCGTGATAATAATATATTGGCTCTGACAGTGACAGCCCTGCAAGTCGGCAAGATCCCTGTCGGATGCAAGGACTCGATGCTGGTTACATTTATAGATAAATTGTTACACTAGATGAATTATTGATTGTTTGGCTTGGATCAGTTCATTTTCTCCGAGAGGTCCCTGGATTAAGTGACCGTTCTCTTTTCATGAATGAAATGACAGAATACTGTACTCGCCAAATGATAACCTATCAGGAAAATTAGAGTAGGTAGTAGACTCGTCGACATCATCTGTCGCTGGAATTAGGTTTCTGCAGTTTGCTTTTCTCCGACGCAAGGGGCTGCGCACAGGATGTGATCTGTCTGCTTTATTTGGAACGGATATAAGGCTAAGCCTATGATACGATATTGTTTTCTGAAGCCCTGTCTTCATAGAAGGGTGTCCTATCTACTACTGAAAAGAATAATAACCCCAGCCTTATGCTAGGGAGTGCTATATATACATGTATCTTCAGTTAGATATATATAGTATTGCCTTCAAGGAGTCTGCTGCAACACGCCTTGTACAACGCAATGAATCCTCGACCTACAACTCATGTCCCTTAGAAATAGACAATGGTCCCTTCTTAACCATGATGGTAAGAACCTCGTAAAGGACATCCGCAGCGGCCCTAAGACACGGTCAACTACCTTTTCAAATCAAAAAGGGAGGAACATACATGGTAGAAAGCTCCGCGTTCGTATCATAAGCTGGAGCAACCTCGACGATATCCGCACCGATAAAGTTGAGGCCATCAAGGCCACGGATGATGGTGCGCAGTTCACGGGTCGACCAGCCTCCAGTCTCGGGGGTCCCGGTTGCAGGTGCAACTATCCATCATCAGAAGAGGGATGCTTAACATCGTGGCGAAACTTACAAGCAGGGTCAAGGGTATCGATATCAATGGAGAGGTAGACAGGGTTCTCGGTGCCGACTCGGTCTCTGATCTTCTTGATGATTCCTTCGGTTCCTGCTGCATGTCAGCATATCGCTCAAACGCGACAGTCACTTGGTTGAGTGGATTCTGACCGATAGTATCAATTTCACGCGCCTCGACAATCTCGAAGCCGCAGTATCCGTCGTTCTCATAGTCTGAGGGTCCAGAAAGGGTCGTCCTGATGCCCGCATGGATGTTGGTGTCGTTCTTCAGGAGACCTTCCATGGCAGCATGGTAGAAGTAGGTTCCGTGATTGATAGCAGCAACCTGACTAGGCGAACCGCCAAAGACCTTGGGCTTCCATGTGTCCCTGGGAACCGTCAATCCAGCATCCTATCATTCGCATGGACGTGAACTTACAGATGACTGTCAAAATGAATCACAGTCACGGGCCCGTAAGCCTTGTTGATACTGCGCAGCAACGGCAGTGTGATGGTATGATCACCACCCAGGGTGATGATGCGCGGCAGAGTCTTTCCCGCCCTGGACAATCCTTCAGCGTCCGCATCGGTGAAAGGCTTGCGCATGAGCAAGCTGTTGTGTCCTTCTTCAATCTGCTGGATAGCCCAAGCATTGTCGTACCTAGTCCAGTGAGCAAAGTCATGATATCTTTGATACATAGAGAACATACGATGTCACAGGTATATCACCACAATCCATAACCTTCAGCTCACTAACGAATGGATTCGCTTCCAATGGTACGTTGTAGCCACCGCTAAATCCCAATTTGCGTGAGCCTTGCCAAACCACCATCGTAAGCATGGGTAGCATTATTACAACGTACTAGAGATTGAGACGGCGAGAACCTTGCCTAATGCCACTCGGGCCGAATCTCGCACCAGGTCTATATGAGGTGCCAGTATCGAAGGGAGCGCCTGGACTGTGAGCACTTTACGGAAAGGCCAGTAGACAGATTCAAACTCACCGATGAAGGCGATATCGTATTTCTCTGCCTCGCTGGAGAGACAAGGGAAGTATGGTAGACGACCGAACGTCGAAATGCCAGAGAAGACAGAGTCCGCCTGAGTGCCACCATCACCTGGGATAGTATTGTACCACAGGCTTTGATGTGGACCAGCGATAGCCTTTTGCCGATGATCGCTATGCGCAGACGCAATGGCGGAAAGTGCCAAAAGACTCAATGTGGAAGTGATCATGTTGCAGTACTAGTGTGATTGTATAGAGAACCTTGTGGATGAGAAAGATACCAGCTGCGAAGGAGCATGGAAATATTTATGACCACACGGTCCCATAACTTCTGTCCATCCCGTGTATGATCTCGCAGATAGTTGGAGTCCGCGGGGTTGAAGCTCGACAAAGGAGCACTCCGATTTCGCACAGGTTGACGATCTTGCGATCATTGGAGGACGTTCTGGTAAGGTATCATCTCTCCAGACAACTTCCTATATTGAGCAAGCAAAGTCAATTCGAGCATCAGATGTCTCTCTCTCCAAAGGAGTTAGGCTCTAAGAATGCAGGCTCAGTGGGCCAGACTCGCAACGCAACTGTACAATGACAGCTAGGCTTCTGCACTTGATCAAATCCAGGTAATAGCAGGAGAACTAGCGCTTGACTAGGCAGAATCTCTATCTGCAGAAACGCATTAGCCAGCAGATATGCCTATGGAGCAGGAATGCAGCAGTGACATCAGGACCGTTGCAGAAGCCTCGCTTGGGTGGATACTGGGAAAAAGCAATATGCAATCTAGCCCTGTTAATTCCAGGTCCCTTCCCAGAAAGGAAGGCCGGAAGAGGATGAAGACAAGGTTCCAGAAATATCAACGAAGCTAAAGACGAATTGACAGCTGACTTCTTATCAGTTGATGCTGGTGGCTTATCTCAACGCTATCTTGACGTGTGGGGTGTCTCTGATAACAAGCAACCCTATTTCAACAGTCCTCTTAGATTCATTCCTCTGTTGGAGAAAGTTAGCTGCATGCTGAACTGGCATTTCGAGTGGATACTCTTTGATTCCGGGGAAGCATAGCTTATCTGCAGCCACTAGTCTCGTTATGCTTCTCAATCGTCCTTCCTTTTTAGAACATCGAGAGACAGCGAACGATATGGACTATTTTCCAATGATGACCAAAAGAAATGGAGTTAGCAGCAGTGCGTTCTTATCGTCTTGTTCTTTTCAATAAGTGTTTACTCACATATGACATGAAGATGCTCTGACCTACAGCTTCAGATGACAGGAGAGTGTCAAAGATACACTGGTACGTTTGACCTGCCTCAGGTATCTATGTACCTCTCACTGTGGGGGGTGAGAGCAGACAGTGCCTTCGCATTCGTATTGCTTCGTGGTATTATTTACTTTAGTTTGTCTATTCCCCCGGTAGCAACTACTGTATCTACACCCCCGTCTCAAGACGCTCATGCACATCCATCCGCCGAAAGGCCATTTCCACCTCCGTATCCCAGTTGCTAAAAGCCACAATCAACCACTCCAACAACCCGACAATATAAAGCGCAATGCATTGTCCCACCCATAGCCCCTTCAGCCCCCACCCATGAAACGCAAGCCAGATCCCCAGAGGCAACGCGCCACAGTAATAACTCACCAGGTTCACCATAGCGCCCACATGCTGCCGGCCCATACCACGCAGACTCCCCCCACAGCTCCCATTCAACCCATCCGCAATCTGAAACAGAGCAACATACGGCAACACCTCAGCTGTCAGCCGCACGACCCCTTCGTCATTGTTAAAAATCCTCGCAAAGTCATTCCTTGTACCCATAAGCACAGCCAAGACTACTCCACCAAGCACCATACTCAACCACGCAGCTGTATTGGCAGCCCGGGCAGCACCACCCGCATCCCTAGCTCCGAGGAGATTGCCGACGCGTGCTGATGCGGCAACCCCCACCCCAAAAGGGATGGTATTAAGGACCTGGTCGGCGGTCATGATCACGCTCTGCGCAGCTAGCGGAATGGTTCCCAGACGGCCGGCGGCGAGGGCGACAATCTCAAAGGCCCACCACTCCGTGCCGACGTGAATGACGCCCAGGAAGGCGAGACGGGCGAATGTGCCGAGGTTGCTGAAGGCTTCTCGCGACCAGCCGCCCCAGCATTCCGAGCCGGCGATGAACCGTGCGTACAGGACGAGGAGGGCAAAGGATAGCCAGTAGGATATACCTGTTGCGAAGGGAGCGCCTAGCAGGCCCATCTTGAAGGTGTAGCAGAAGAGGTAGTTTAAGAAGGCGTTGAAGGGGGAGGTGATTAAGAGGACGTAGGTTCCCGGCCGCATGATTCCTATGAGTCGTTCTTTAGCGGAAACTTAGCGAAAAGAAGGAAGAGGCAATACCTTGAGCCTGGAGATACTTCTTCATAACCTCGAAATAGATATACCCCAAACCTCCAGGAATCAAACACGTTAGAAACCGTGCACTGTCTCGCGAGAGAACCGGATCCTGACCCAACAAAAGAAAAACGTGCTCCGAACAAGCCCACAGAATAGCAACGGGGATATAGAAAAGACCGAGCACAAAAAAGCCCCGCTGCAGCAGGATCCCCAGATCATGCTTGTTCGCGCTCCCCGTGAACGAAGACGAGGCCAGCGTATCCAATGCGGTCGTGCCTCCCAGCGCAATCATCCACGCCGTGATCATCGCGAACATGAGGGAGAAGGCGGAGGTAGCGAGGTGCTCCGGAGACAAGCGTCCGACGATCAGCACGGATGAGGTTTGTAGACTGTTTTGTAGTGTATAGGCTAGGATTACGGGGATTGAGTCTTTGAGCAGGTGCCAAAACTCTGCGATGATAAGGTGTCGATTTGAGACATCATCCTCGTCAGCGACGGTCGTTTCGCCGTTCAGATGCCACGGGCTGTCAATGCCTGGTGGCTTCGGGAGGAGAGAAGTATACTCAGTGGGATTGTCTCCATCTAAGGAGCTACTCCTGCGAGTTGGATCAACGGCGTCGGGCATTTTGTGAGGATGACAAAAGGTCCTGTATAGGATGCATAGGACAACGGCAAGAAGTAATCTATATATCCTGTATACATCAATATGGTTAAGCGAGAAATTGGCACCTTGGGTCGGCAGTAAGCGTCTTCCGAATAGATCAAAAGCCAGTTACCGGCGGTATGTAATCCTAACCCAGTGAATCAGCTTTAGGTCAGTTTCCTCTCGCCAGTCTTGATTTTCTTTGCAGTCGCTTCCTCTCCATCGCATCATTCTAAGCACCCACAAAAAGCGCCTCTATGTTATCTCAACGACCGGTGGATCATGCCAACCGGCTAAGGAGCAAAGTCTGCATTGGGTCGACGACTGAACCGTCTAGAACTTCCTCTGACTTGCATGACTCGCACAGAACGAAGAAGAAGAAAGTTCAGCCCATAGAGAACAACCCGTAGACCACTGCATCAGGGGTCCGATCACGGAGCCCTTATCGACGGCGGCTGCCATGTCATGCTGATAGTCGTGGAGACAACAATTCGAGTACAATAAAGAGTCTGTCTCTCCAAATATTGACCCAAATTGGAAGGTGATCTGTAACTTTATTTAAGAGTAGCGAGAGAAAGAAAAAGGAACCAAGTAAGTGACCGAATGGCCTCGGAGAAACAGAGCACTTGTCAGTATGACAACCCCGCGATTGATAACGACCCCTGATGGTGCTCAGGTCTGGATAGTCCAAGAATACTATTTTCGACTGCTGGACATTCCTATGTAATTTGAATAGATGCACCTGGACGAGAGCTAGCATGGATTGGCTTTTTGAGGAGAAATATATGTTTTAGGCTTATATGTTCCTAATCATGGACTCCTGTATACAAACATATCACTGTCGATAATGTGGTCAAATATAGCGTCAGTCTCCAGTCGGAAGAATGGATGACAAGAGATATGAATTGAACCAGAAATATTGTTCAGCGAGCAGATGGTCCAGAAGTCATCGTAAAAGAAGTCGAGCTTGGTGCACGGCCTCAAGACCAGAAGAGCCAACGTCAAGAGCTGATCAATTTCATGACAGCATCCGATTTCTGATATAACAAATACAATGTCAGTCATCCGTAAACTTCTCTTATCGTTATCTGCAACAGATAACTGGCAAGAGACTTTCTGGTTGTTTGTTGACTAAGACGCCACTCATCCGGGGTTGTTGCAGGCAGTGGTCTAGTAGAGTTCATCGACATAACCAGAAACGCAAAGCATGTTGCGCCACTGAAGCCCTAGTAACGTTGGAAAAGATGAATATCCAACGAGCCCTGATATGCTTATCACTTGCGCAGCCTTAGTCAAGCTTTGGACTTAACTACCACTTGATCGCCGGAAAGTGTCTCAAAGAAAATAGGCACAGATAAGGATGTTCTACTTTGATATAAAGTCAGATTCTGATTTGACAATGGCTGAGACGAAGTATAACCCCGTAAGGTCAGATACTATGACCTTTATGACTCTTATTCCATAGTGTGGTTGTATATAGCCCTTTTATACCTTCGAATGCCGAGTACTGGCATGAGAGAATTACCTACAGATCCATAACAAGACACCTGTACTGAGACCAATGCTTTCACATACATGATGGAAAAAGAACTGATCAAAGGCAATCTTGAGAATTCGCAGAGAATCAGTGGGATTGATGAGAAGCAGTCCGTTCCAATTGAGCTGGGAGTCATCGGCGAGACGACAATAGAGCAAAATGGAATCAAGATACATCCTCAACCGACTTCAGATCCCTTGGATCCGCTCAACTGGTCACGGCTTGAGAAGCATACCATCTTGGGGATCGTCATGTTAAAGTCAGTGCTCGCATAGCTCACATATCAGTCAGCCTTTGCTAATGTTTGATTGAAGATATTTTCTATTTACTTACATCACAACCACAACAGTCCCTTCATTTCCTGAGCTCCAGTCACAGTTCAGTATCAGCTACTCAGAAGTCAACTGGACCGTCGCAGTTCCTGCCCTAGGACTTTCAGTAGGGCCCCTTTTTTGGACTTCGTTCAGCGACATATACGGCCGTCGTACCATTTTCATTACCGGAACAGCCATTGCTCTCGTGTCAACAATCGGAGTAGCGGTGGCAGACAATTATAGCGGATACATGGCTGCTCGATTCTTCCAGGGATTCGGGGTTAGCCCAGCGGCGACGGTTGGAATGGCGGTTGGTAGGTACCATATCTGCCATCTCAATCAACAGTGTACGGACATACTGACTCATGCAGTCAATGATCTTTTCTTTGACTATGAACGCGGACAGAAACTTGGTTTGTGGGTTCTGGCAATTGACTCTGGACTCTTGCTGGGGCCAACCTGTGAGTGGTTCAAGCATCTCTCCTCATGACACATGCTAAGGCTTCCTAGTCGGTGGTTTCTTGAATGTAGTGAGCGCAGCATGGATCAACTGGTTCAACGCCATCCTCTTCGCCGCACTGCTGGTCCTCGAACTCTTCCTCATGCCCGAAACCCTATACCCGCGCACAACTATGCTACAGCGCGTGCCGCGGGAAGGCCATAAACCTCCGACCTCTTCAGATATCGAACAAAGCCCAGTTGACGAGAAGACCGAGAACATGGCAACAGCAGCCGGACCCGCCATTCCAAGAACAAAAGAGCTCGGCTTCTTCAATGTCAAACCTGTTCCCGGCATGCGGCATCCAAAACCATGGGACTCCGTCGTTCGGTTTGTCCTCACTTTCCGATTTCCTGTCGTAGCTATCAGCGTTATCGGATACTGTTTCTTGTGGTATTGGTGGATTTTGTCGGTCATCACGATGGTGCCTGCTGCGTACGCGTCGTACACCCCACTGATCCAAGGACTGCTGTTTCTTGGGTTGTTTCTGGGGACAGTGACCTCGGAGATCTGTTGCTCAGGTAGGTTGAGTGATTACCTTGTTGGGAGACTGGCGAAGAGGAATGGCAGCGTGCGTGTCGCGGAGATGCGATTGTGGCTGGCCTATCCTGCTATCCTCGTCACAGCTGGTGAGTTCATCGTTCGCTTAGCTTTCACAAACGGAGGCTAACCCAGATGTCAGTTGGACTTGTTGTCTGGGGTGTCAGTATTGATAAGAACTACCATTGGATAGTTGGCCAAGTCGCGTTCTTCCTCTGTAAGTCTGTCCAGCTGATGGAGTGAGGAATCAACTACTGACAGTTCCCAGTTGCTGCTGGAATCCAGATGGGGAATACCGTCACAAGCAGCTATATCATCGATAGCTACCCGCTTCAGTCAACGAGTGTGATCAACTTCTATGCTGTCTTCCTCAACTTGAGCGCCTTTATCAACCCAGTATGTTCCTTTGAATGACAATTTCTTGGTTGCTGAGATGGTAGCTGACTGACATCTCCAGTTCTTCATTGCGCAATGGCAGGCCGCGACAGGATACACATGGACGTTTACCACGCAGGCGTTGATTGTCGCGGTTGGTGGAACGGCTGTGTTTGCATTATTGCACTGGTTTGGCGCGTCGATGCGGAAGATGTCGCCAGTGCCATCATGGGTGAATCCTGAGTTTGACTCAGGGTGTTGATCTGTATAGATGCCATAGATGCCATTGCTAGAAGTTTTCTACTATGTATTTTCGAGAGAGGATGAACCATGGGCTATTCTCCTTTCCGCTCTATTGTACCACTGAACTGCCTTAGATAATCTAGTCTTCCACTGCCTTGCTGGGGCGCAATCCCTAAAGATGATATCCGCTCATATAAAGCTTATAATATCGGAATAAGCTCTAGACTCCTGCGTGTAGCCATTTTGACACCGGGCTTAGACTGTTATGCCTAGCCGTCATCATGTCCTATTGTTCCAGACCACTGTCTCTGCAGCATAACCAAGCCGTTTGATTCTCATCATTCACTTCCTTTCAATGCCGCATACTTGTTTGTCCCTAGATTTGCAAGATATTCAATAATAAGTAGCTGTGGATTCACTACCAAGCTTTATTCAACTCCTAATTCTGGTTATTTATTCACTCACCTCCCCGGCTAAGTCAGATTTTATCTCCCTCTCGCCATCAAACTCTTCTTGCCTTCTTCTTATGCCGTCCTTGAGTATGGACGCTCTAAGGACTAGCAACCACGACTCTGGGATATCCATAACCAACCCACCTCGGGAGATTTGTGTATAGCCCTTCTGACAAGAATTACATCGACCACCAAGCCTTTCGAAGGATCTACTTGCTGAGCAGGGTCGAGAGCATCAAAGCCCATTCATTCCTGGCAACCATCAGGAATAAAGCGAACCAAATTATTCTCGCGTAATGAGTTGGTGAGCGTTCCCGAGCACTTCAATCTGAGATTCTTGCATCTACTCAAATGCTGACTCCCGTGTCTCCCGCAGGCGTCCGTCATATGTGGGACTTTGCAGGCAAGGAGGGCAAGGGCAAGACTAGTGCCTTGGTTATGGGATCCAAGGAAAACAAAATGATATGGAGTAGCGCGGATCGAAGTGAGATAGGTTGCCACAGACTGGATATCACCGAAATATTTTCGGCGAGTCTCTTCCATTGCTAGCTCCTTCGGCATGCTGGGACGAACGACAACCAATTTACCACTAGATACCAGGAAAGTCTTGATCTCACTCCATCCGGGAGGACTGAAGGATCCCGCGGGAAACGGCTGTGGGCATTCCTCTTTTCGCCAACAGCCTGGCAGTTAGTCGTTAGCGGTGCGCCACGGAACAGAGACATTGTTCTTACCACCAAAATCATAATGGCAGTATCCAGAAAACAGATGAGCTTTCAACCATCGCTACCTGGGCTTCCTCTCTGTGCCTGGTTCCGCATGCAAACCGTTGACAGAATGGCGCGCAATGGTGACGCGCTGACAATAAATTCCAATTTTGATGTCTATGAGGAAGTCCCTGACTCAGACTGGCACGCCACAGTCACTGATCCCATGCCCATCACACCTCCTCAAATGATCACCTTTTTCTCACCCGCCGCTGGACGACTAAACCTGCCTGGCATCAGCTAGATGACGGTCTAGAGCCACGGCCAATCCCTGTCAAGGATCTGGCCGACATACGTGATGCCATTCATACGATACAAGCTCATGGACAACAGATGGACCTTGTAAAGATTCTGACTCGGATCGTCCTTTTCTCGAAGTGCAGCAGCTGTCCAAGAATACGTTAGTCAGGATGCTCACCTCAGACATGAGGAAGATTCGTTTTATCTGAACCGGCTCCTCCTACTCGCGGCTTGAAGCGCTCTTTTCCAAGTGGAAGCATATCCACAAATAAAACTACTCCATATGCAGAGATTCAGAAGCACTCAGATGAGTAGCCTGCTATCGATGCGGAGAAGCCAGTGATCTATAGGGGTGAGGTATTTCGTCGCTGGTCCGGACGCCAGCGGAAGTTCAGCATGGAGATTGTCATGGATGAGAGCATATCCTCCATGACTAGCACTTCTGCATTACCCGTGATCCCGTCGATGCTCAGTGCCTTTTCATTTAGAAAGTCCCTGCCAGGTTTGCGTGGCACAAGTAACAGAGAGCGAAACCACTGGTAGACGGGACCTTACCTCCAGACGCACTGGAGAAGCTCCAGCTGCAGTTCTGCATCCTCGTAATGATCCCAACAGTCCAAAACCCGTCCTTGCCGCAACGACGAGCACGCTAGATGATACTTTGTGTATCCACGTCACTGCTTGCGGGGACCACAGTAAGGATGATAGAACCAAACTAAAACTTGGATTCTTCCTTGTTAAGAATCCTCGGCCCTATTGGTTTGGAGAAGGGCACGACTACGGCTGAGGGTCGGGAGATGAAGGCGGAATTCTTCGCACTTCCACCTTGGGAACAAACTCGGACTCGATCCTTCACTGTCGGCATAGACAATCTTCGAAGCTTCATGCAAGGCCTCCTTGATCGACATATATTTGGAGAACTCGCGGTCTATCATCCTTTCTGTGGTCCCCGCAAGCAGCGAGGTGGATACACAGAGTAACATCCAGCGTGCTCCTCGTTTCGACAAGGACGATTTTCGGACTGTTGGTCATGATCTCGAACTCAAAGAGAGAACGGAGCTGCAATCGATTCGGTCATGTATCCCATGTTGCAGACTTGACCGGATACTGCTTTCGTCGTTGGGGAAGCTAGCCAGATACACAGCAAATCCCGACAAATCACATCACATTTCATCCATCTCGTTCGCTACTTTCGTCAGACCCTGGTTATCGGAGACGTCTATAAGCCTTACAATGCCAAGGACGTCATGTCAAAGCTAGGCGTCATCATTGGCTACGTCGACGCAGACTACGCAGGATGTATCGACACTAGGTGTTTAACTACTGGATGCGTCTTTATGTTCAGCAAATAGGCCTATCTCGTGGGCATCCAAGCTACAAATAGTCGTCTCTTTGTCTACGTGTGAAGCTAAATACATTGCAATTATCCGCACTACAAAGGAAGTCATCTGGCTCACCTATCTCCTTTGAATATCGGCTTTGAAGGCGTCCGCCCTATGCTACTCAACACCGACAGTCAGCCCACTATGGATCTAGCTCACAATGCTCAGTTCCATGCACGCGGTAAGAATATAGATATCAACTGCCATTGGATCAGAGATGCAATTATCAAGAAGCAGGTCTTCCTGCAGCACCTTACATCAGATAAGATGATCGCGGATCTCATGACGAAGCCGCTCGGTCGTCTGAAGTTCAACTAATTCTTTAAGGCGCTGGGCTTAGCCTAGCGGAGCACCACGAACAGCAGATCACCGACTCAACGCCTTGATTATAGATTAATTGCATAATTGAGAAATGGCTACGACCTCGATGGTTGAATTCGGGGGTGTATGGGCATACTTAGTATGGCGGAATCCGATCATGTGATCATTGGTAGATAGCTCCCATCATTTGTATGATGGTAAACCTACATTCTACATAGCAAAGAATTAACGAAAATAGCTACATATTCTTCCCCTCATCATCGGACAGCCAGCGCAAGACTTAGGTTCATGCTATCAGCGTTTATTTACCTAGCGAGGGGACTAGAGTTAATGCTCTGGCTCAATGAAGTGGTTTAATTGAGAAACTCGCACATCTCACGTTATCAATAGCCAAGCAGCATTGAATATGCATTCAATAATGAATCATCTATATGGTACAAAGAAGCTAAAGAAAGGAAAAGCATTCCTATTGTAGTCAAGGGGGAATCTCAGCCATCAAAGCGCCCTCCGAAGCCCAAAGCTCTTGTAGGTCAGGTAAACGCCGATTATGCTTCCATGAAAATACATCCGCGAGGGCAGATGGGCTGAAAAGGTAAAAGAAATCAAGAAAATCATGAATCAAAACGGATAGGAGTCATTCAAACGACCCTAACCATGCTCGACGGAAGCCGTTATCAGTCGCTGTGGCGATCTTTGTAGGTGAACGCTTAATGAGAACAAATTGGGAAGAATGACCAATAAAAGGAGTAAAGCGATGCCACAATCGAATATCACTATCCACTAGTAGTCGATCCCTCTCCGTATGTGCAGCAGCCTTGTGGGGAATCAGAGGTGACCATATAACTTCAACCGATAGAAGCAGGTGAAGTTAGCCCCCCAATTTGAATTGACGCGGAAAGCGACTCGGTCTACACGGATGTCGGGCTGGTCGATGATCGCATCCAGACTGAACTCCTGGACGTGGTGCTGCCCGTGGAGATCATACTTCCATTTCCCTATACGGTAAAATGTCGGACCCAGAGTTGTAGCGTTCCAGTAAGCACTCTCAGGTTCATTGTGGTAGGCGGGACGAAGATAGCCCATTATATAGTCGTGTAGTGAGAATCGCTCTGATAGCATCGGAGACTGGTACTCCGTTTCGAGTACCTTAGACTCAAAAGAGAGGAGCCATCTTAGGTAGGATTTATACCAACCGGAAGATCCTGCTTCCGTCGGAAGTTCACCAGACGTGCTCTTGTTAATCGTGTATTGAACCCAGAGTTCCATGTCCTTCGGTGCGGCTCCTGGATTAAGGGTAGCATGTTTGGGAATATGCTCGACGACGACCTCCTCGGGAACAATGGGCCGGCTCAAGTGAAGAGCCAGCTGCGACACACCGTTTCGTGGAGCGCTACACCAGCAATCGCCCACACTGTCCCAGGGTACCAAGGCCGTAAGAGGTGGGTTGGGCTTTGGCCGCGGATCTTCACCCCAGTCTGATATCCGGTCCTGCAGCCACTTAGGCAGCCTGGATTTCTTCTCTCCGTAGGTTGGACTTGTCATGCGCGGATCTACCAATACGCCGGTCCCTATACTGAGAAAATTGGGCTTCTTGGGCACTTTGACCGGCTCAATGATAGTGGTTGGGCCAGCGACGTTTTTGACCTCAGATTTAACGACGCTCAATTCCTTGGAGATAGAAGAAACTTGCGCTCCCAATCTCATCACTTGGTTATTAAGTCTATTCAGCGCCTCGATGTCGGAAGCGTTCAGGGGAATTGAGGGGGCGGGATTGCGAAAGGGAAAGTGCGAGGCGATGTCGTGGGGTATGTTGGCAAGTGTGTCGCTGAACGAATAAATTGTGAGAAGAGATATGGCGGTCAGAAGTATAGCACCAGCTATTCGAATAATTTGTGTCCATGGAAGAGAAACTGATACTCTAGGTATGAAAGAAGTGGCTGGTGTTGATCGAGCGTGGTCTGTGAAGGATTGGTCTGGTGGCAGCGTGGTAGAATTATTGAACGACTGTTCTTTCGTAAAAAAATCTGGAATGATAGTCCGCGCAGGTGCCGAAGACACTTCCACTTGTGGTACAGACTCCTTTCGAGTCTCCAAAGGCTCCGGAGGCTGATCCGGCTCGGTTTGATGGTCCGATTGTGCCTCTGATTCCACTGTCAGTTCTCGAGGCGTTTTCGAGACAGAAAGACGCGAATCAGGTTCGTCTTCCTCTACAATGGTCTCATTTGCGAAAGCAAGCCCAGAAAAGCGACGAGGCGGCGCAGTAATATTCTTCCCGATTGGCTCTTTGCGATAGCGAGTGGAACGTGTCCGTTGCAGGTCATCATCGTGGATATCGCGCTCTACCATCCACGAAATGACCGATTCGTTGTCATCTATGCCTGCATTTTGCGATATTTCTAGAGAAACATCGTTGCGAGTGGGGGAGCCAATGCGCTGCAGCGGGGAAGGATACAGCTGCTCTATTGGCAGAGAGGGATATTTGGGGTCTGTAAGCATCTGAGAGGCCGGACTGGACATGGTGGAAAGTGTGTGTGGGATAGGCGGAGTTGGGGTTGCAGTAGATCTCTCAGCTTGCTCTTCATTTTCTCCGTTGCGCTGATTCGGGGAGACAGTCGCGTCGCGTAACGCATCAAGCAATTGCACTTGATCTGGAGTCGGTTCTCGCTTGGTTCGCCGGCGGACGGGTGATGCGTTAGCAGCTGATGACCGTCTCCGTGAGCGTGTGTTCATATGAGGTCGATCATCTGTATCATTGGATTCATCTGGGTCACTCTGTCGATCTCGCTTCTGAGCGTCTCTGATGGTCTGATCAATCGATTCGGCCACTTCGGCCAAACCCATCTTCTTCGCGACTAGTTGACGAGGAAGGACAGGTGCTGCCGGTGAGCCATAGGCCCAGCTTGGCTGAGTAGGCACGTCTGGCAGCGGCTGGTTACTGACACTTGGACTCGAATGACCAAAAATGATCGAGGCCTCGGAGCGAGCAGTAGCTCCGGCACGCCGGGTGCCTGCGCGCTTAGGCGGCATCTGTTCCCAGGTGGCTTTGTACAGCCGTTATCGTTGTCTATGTGGGGTCAGTTGAAGCAGAAGGATAAGGGTGAATCCGTCAAAGGTAGGCACAGATGCGAGATTCCAACACAGTAGACGCAGATAAACGACGGTTAGGTTAGGCGAAAAGCTTAGTGTCAAGACTTACAGTTTCGTAAACAGCACTCGCTACCAGGAGCTGGTCTGCATGAGTCGAAGCCGACACTTCTCAAACGGCAACCTCAGGCAGAGATCGTTCTCGTGCTGTCCAAGGTGCTTCAGACCAAAGGCGCAAAAACCAACAAAATTGGATACTGAATTCTGAAGCTGTAATAACAGCACTCACATATCATAGAATCAATTAATGACTCTGCGTGATCTTCAGATTGTTGCAGTGGTAGTGTGTTGGTGAGACCAAAGTGAGGCCAAGATGGCGGGCTAAAAGACAGGCACAACAGTGATATCGCCGCATTCAATATGGGACACTTTGGCTTTTATCTTTGAGGGGAAAAAAACAAAGACAGCATCAAGACAAAGCGCCTCAGGGAATAAAGCAACTTAGTAAAGCCCTGCGAATGACGTTCGGCGTCGTCAAGAATAGCCTCCGCGTAAATGAAGGAGTCTGGCGCGCCGAAGCTGTCGAAACGCGGGTGTTTTTCGCGGTGGCTGGAATGGAGACCCACAAAGCTTAAACCCTTGGGACAGAGAATGGAGGATATTATCGATAGCTTTGCTGATAGATCTTTCAATATCGCGCATTAGAAGTTATATTACTCCCTCGATGGCTGTTCGTGGTGTGGAAAGGGAGATGTCAAGTATTTGGCCAAGTACCCGTTCCATTATGGAGCCAAATCGGGAAAGGCTTGGCAACAGCAGCAACAGAGCGAAGCCAAGCAAGAGCACAAAGAGAATATGAGGATTACGAAGTTGAAAGAAAGCCATATATTGGAAATATATACTGTCCTCGATGACCAATTGCTGCATACGAGAAGACATGGGGAAGCTTGAAATTGTTTGAATATCTTTATTCTTTGACTGGCATTCAAGTCCCCTTATCTCATGTGTCACTCCTGTTTGATTCCTCGAGCATGTTTCATCTTGAACACTTCAGCTTAAAATATTTCTTCTTTGTTCTATTTTGAGGAAGCCTGCTGTGTCACTTCCTGTCCAGATTGGCACACCCTTGGCCCCACATACAGTTGCCATTTTCCCCTTTATATTGGTTCCAAGATACATGCTAGTATACAAGTGTGAAGGATGGTGCTATAGCATAAGGCGCAAATCATGGTCATGATGTGCGACGGGTCAACATGAGAAAAGCAGCGTGGAATATAGGATGACAATGCAAGCCGTTAAGAATCATGTAGACTTAGAAAGTAGCCGGTAGAATCGTTCAACAAGTCCACGCCGCCACGGTACCGTCCTTGCGGCCTTCGAGCAAGTATCCGTCCTTAAGCCGTACTCTCTCGACTGTCGCAGGCGCCGGGCCGGACTCATCTGCACCAACCCCGGCTCCACAGTCCCAGTGGTGACCATCGGCCTTATCGTATACTTTGACAACGTTCTCGCCAGCCGCAGCGACTATGCGCTTTGTGTCGAACATCATGCTGGTGATTGGTCTGTCATAGGCGTACGCATCGAAGATGGAGCCCATGCGTAGATCCCATATCTGTAATTGCGTCAGAACTCAGGATGAAAGATATCCAGAGATAAGACTTACTCTGATGCTGCGGTCCTGACTTCCCGTCACCAAGTGCACTTCGTCAAATTGCAAGCACGTGATGGGCCCAGTATGGCCCACGAGGCTACGATGGACTTGGCCGCTGCGAAGATCCCATAGCCGGACCATGCCGTCGGCAGTACCGCAGGCGAGCGCAGCATCAAAACACTGGAGTGCGCCGACGAAATCCGCAGACGCGTCCGGGAGACGTCCCGAAGGGCGCCATTGTGTGTCAGCCCCGAGGGTTGACGCCTGAGCTGCGGCCCATAAGACGTCTAATGTCTGAACGCAACGTCCTTTGACAAGATCCCACTGCCGTAAAGTCTTATCCGCAGAGCCGGAAATCAGCGTATTCCCTCGGAAATGGAGCGCTGTCACTTCATCAACATGGGCGTCGAGTGAAAACACATAGCAGTCCTCCAGAGTGGTTGCAGAAAACAATGAGAAAGCATCTGACGCATTGTCGTCCTCCCCTTCACCCTCTTCATGTTTGTTGAGACGGTTGTCACGGGTCACAGTCCGAGCACGACTCAAGTCCCAGAGTTTGACCGAAGCATCCATAGATCCTGTAGCGACAATGTTGTCTTCGACCTGCAAACACCGAACGGAGGCATTATGGCCCTCCAGGAACCCCGTACAGCGGCCAATATTAAGGTCCCAAACTCTGACGGTGTCATCCAAAGCGGCGCTCACCATCGTACCAAAAGGGTAATCGAAGTCAATAGCTGTCACCATGTCAGTATGGGCTTGCATTTCCTTGATCTGTGATCCGGGTGCGAAGTGTTCGTGTAGGATAGGCATCGAGCGTTTCCCTAAGCGTTGTTAGTGACGGGTGGTAGAGTAACGAGCTTTGGTGAACAGTACTTATAGAGCGCTGTTTCAGACTCCTCGGCGAATGTGAAGGTAGTTTCTGATAAATCGACTCTGACATGAAAGACGCATCCATAGCCGCGTCTTCCGAAACGACCGAGTCATCGTTCACTGCCGAGGATTTCGGGGTTGCAGCTGTTACAGGAGTCTTCGGCGCTTCCTCTTGGATATCCTCAAGCTTGTTGTCGATTTCAGTCACTGTCAGGTGTCAGAAACAGTACCATGAAGCCTCAAATTCGCCATAACCCACATTCATGTTCGAGCTCCGCCTCTTCCATCTCTAACCCCGCCAACCGATCCAGCACGATTTTCCTCATGTTGTGCAGATTAGCGATTTTGTTGTCAATCTCGTGGATTTCCGAGCTGCACATATTCTTGCGCACACCCATAAGGTCCAGCCGCCGGCTCAACAGGTCCCGTTCCTTCTTCAAGTCCTTCGGCATTGATGGAAGAGCCCCGGCCGCCTCGCCATCCTTCAGCAGCTTCTTCCCTTTGGAGCTGCGCCGTCGGTGGGCTTTCCTGAATTCATGGTCGTCTTGGGTGGCCTTGAAGCCCTCGAACAGAGAGTAGGAGCTAGAGTCTTCGGGAATGTTTGCGAGGAGCTCGTCGGGCAGAGAAGAGAGGGCGCGCGATTGAATTTCAGATGTTGAGAGCTTGGAGCGAACGAGGTCGGTCGGAGTGGTTTGTGTCAGGGAAAAAACTTTGCGCTGAGTCGTCGGCCGCCGTAACTCGCGATGTATGTCGGCCATGGCAGTGTGGTAATGCCCGCCGTTGCTTGATTCGGTAATTGGTCCCATCAAATGCCCTGCAGTCGATGTGACTTTTCTCCCGAAGGCTTCGATATGCCGGCTCTGTACACGTTGAAGTAATATCAGCATACACTACTGACCATGCCCGTACCACAAAAGCCATAGACGAACGCAGACACCGAAGGGAGCAAGGAAAAAGAAAAGAAGCGCACCGTTAAGCCGATCCCTAAAAGACCATCCGGCTCGACAATATCTGATAAACCAGAAGGCGACTCATCGCGGCGCTGTGACGCCATGAGGCTAACCGGAGGGTCTTTTGAGACTGAAGGACCTCAAAAACCCATACGGCTTATCCGGACAAAATAGAAGAGTCGAAGCGCTTCAAGGGCGACTTCTCGGCACTCGGTCGGCTCGCTGGGGAAGATCAAGAGTTGCTCTGGAGTTGCACGCGATGAATTACCGTGTCTCCGAGCTGCCGTATTATTGTTACCACCAGCTAGCGAGGGACAGCGGCCTCGATACTCTGCGAGTCCCTTACCTATGTCGATGAGCGAAGGGATGATCAATAATATATTCTGGGATAGGATCTTTATCACGGCCTAGTTGGCAATACTAGACCCGATTATCGGAAATCTAGCCTCTAGAGGTAGAAGAAAAGATGTTTCCCAGCTCTCTAAGCTGTGACGGAGGCGGCTTAATGTTCCAAAAATACCACATGACCGAAGTGAAATACGGAGACCATGATACCTAGGTATCCAGGTACCTCAGGGAACTTAGCTGACTTCTCTGACTTCTGCTATCTATTAGTTGAAAAGAATGAGGTCAATCAAAATTTTTGGCTCCTCATGATGCCTTACACGATTTGGAGCGAAGATGAGCTCCACGGTCACCGAGGCTGTGCTTTCCTAGCCCGGCGCTGATGTTGTCCTACATAAACTGGATGAAGCTGCCCGACCATCGGCGCCGATTTCTTCCCCTCTTAGCTCAGAAGAACCAAAGATCCTAGAAACTGGGGAAGCTTAGAGAATTCCCGACAACCTGAGCTCAACAGAAGCATGGATGCTGCAATTGATCTTTCAGACGCCTCCAAGGCGTTGGATCTGGCCAACATCAGATTCCAGTTGATGTAAGTTCGATATTTCCTTCTGCCCCGCACATACATAACCATCTCCGACCCCGGGTATTGCTACATGTTCACTGTTCAAATGAATGCGTTCGCTAATTGGAATCTTATAACTTGTCCTCTATCTCAGTCGTCTAGAGGATACAATCACTTTCCACCTGATCGAGCGCGTTCAATTCCCCCTCAACAAGACTATCTACATCCCCGGCGGGGTCAAGATTCCAGGCGATGAGGTCAGTTTAATGGACTACCTGCTCCGAGAGCAGGAGCGCCTACAGTCCCGCGTTCGTCGCTATGAGTCTCCCGACGAATATCCTTTCTTCCCCGAAGTGCTCGAAAAGCCCATCCTGCAACCCCTCGAGTACCCCAAGATCCTCCACGACAACGACGTGAATGTCAACGAGATCATCAAGAAGCGATATATTGAGAATATCCTTCCTGCAGTGTGCGCGCACTTCGAACGCGAGGATCGAGGAGAGGCAAAAGAGAACTACGGGTCCGCGGCGACGTGCGACGTAAGCGTGCTGCAGGCACTTTCGCGTCGCATTCACTTTGGCAAATTTGTCGCGGAGGCCAAGTTCCAGAAGGATCCCGAGTTGTTTGTCAAGCTGATCAAGGCCAATGATCGCGCCGGAATCGATGCGGCCATTACCGATGCGAAGGTAGAACAGAAGGTGCTGGAGAGATTGGGCCTTAAGGCCAAGACCTACGGGACCGACCCTGCGTTTCCTTCGGAGACAGGGCCAAAGATCAATGTGGATGCGGTGGTTGCCATGTACAAGGTGAGTGCGAGATTTGACTGCGTTGGAAAGCGAGCATTGCTGATTCCGGAAACAGGAATACGTCATCCCTCTGACCAAGGTGGTGGAAGTCGAGTACCTCATGCAACGGCTGAAAGGCACTCAATGGGAGTGAGCGATTCAAGTAGTATCGCCAGTATATATGATGTATTGATGGGAATGATGTATCTTATGCCCTCATGAAAAGAAAAGAAGCTGTAATCTCTGGGTTGAATGATGGATATAGACATGCATGCGTCGGCTAATACTCATACTTTTGTTCTTTCGTCATGGAGTCATTGGCTGCAGCTGTGATATGCCTATACAGGAGGTTTCAAATAATCCGTCACATCTTTGACTGCAGCTTCCAGTTTCGGGCCGTCGATCAAAATCAGACTTCCCGATGTCTTGATGCCCAGATCCTGGAAAGCCCGCTTTGAGTCAGAAAGGCCCTCGTCGTGCTTATGTGTATACTCTATCGAGCCAGAGCAGATCGCATGTCGCTCAAGCATCTCATCCTCGGGGTGAAAGAAGAATCGCTCGACATTGCTGCCAGACTTCTTCTTCTTCTTCTGCGGACGGGACTCTTCCATATCCAGCTTAGATTCAACCTCCTCGTATGTCTTGGACACAATCAGATAGTGTGAGAAATTGTACGGCTCCTTGTCTTCGATGGCCCACGCGATCTCCTCCAGAAGCATGCTATACATTGGAGGAACAACTTCGGCTGGCATGTTGATCAAGCGCTCGGTGAGAATCAACCCAATTGGAGGGATGGGCGATTGTGAAAGGAGCTCCGAAAGGGGTGCGAGGGAAGGACTGGACGAGGCTTTGCGTTGTAGGTAGGACGTCAAATCCTTGATTACGGGTTTATCCTGAACAAGTAAGCCTAGCTCCTCTCAGTCCTCAAAGAACAAGTGGAAGTACCTTGTGCTCTTGCATGTTCAATACGGTCAGAAATGCATATGGATCGGATTCATTGCCGTCCACCTTCACTGTCGATCCGAGCAAGGGCTGTGCTAGTATCAGATCCGCCAATGCGGACAGGTCGAAGATCTGAGAATCGGCATCGAACAGTTGTCGGAGGAGATTCTTGAGTCCGTGGAAATCCACCGCGGGCTGCGGATCGAACCATTCGAAATCCACATTCACCATATCCATCTCCTTGTCAACGTAATGTTGTTAGCATGAATATGCGACAGGAGCAGGTTGGTGTCTATACCTCGTCGGACTCATCATCCTCCACTGGGCGCCCGGTACCGCCCATCTCGACGTCATTGTCTTTCAGTTCTTTTCGCTTTCCCATTCTGAATGTTTCTTGATATCAGAGTGATCTGTAGGATTGAGAAGCGTCTGTCTTGGCAGTCGAAGTTCTCCAGACTGTTCGTCGGCGTCAATAAAGATGCTCCGATAGGGCCCCTCGCTAATTTTTTCGGACCTTGGCTTTATCAGCAGCTTATCGCAAGCACGTGACCTCCATCTTTATTCTATAGTGTCATGGCGACAAGAAGCATTTAACAAAACGAGCTGTTGAAGGTCATCTCTAGAAAGAATTATACCTTGAACAGGAGGCAGGGCATGACATTTGCTTGCAAAATCTGAGATTCATGCTGGAGCTCACATTGTGGCTCGTCATGATGGAATGGCAAGGCGAGCTTTCTGTACACTAGCCTTTCTATCGATGCATGTCTCTAAGACAGTCAATCAGGAAAGCAAAGTCTCATATGTCAGCTTCCACTTCCTCAACAGTAGGAACCTTGTCCAAGGTTACGCCATAGAACCGCGCCACGAGCTGCACACAATCCCAAACAACTTGCACGTCCTCCCTGGAGAGCCCCAACCGCCTCGTGCCCCGAATATGCCAATGCGTCTCGGTCCTGAGATTCTGGCTCATGATCGCCGGCAACACAACCATCTGCGTATCCACATCATCCAGCACCTGCCGGTCAGACAGAAACAACCCGTAGGTGATCTCCCTCGATAACCAGGCGAAGTCCTTGTGCGCATTGAACAGGTCCAGCGTGTTGGACGCATTGCGCGCGTACAGCTTGCCGAACCAGTCCATCCCGCGCTCGTGGTTGGCCGCGTCGCACTGCCAGTTCTCCCGCGTGCAGGTGAACTCTTTATCTTCGTCGCGCTCGACCTTGCTGATGGCTAGGATGGCTTCGATGGGCTTGCAGACGCCGACGATGATGACGGATTTGAAGAGGGATTCTCGTAGACGCTTGACGAGGGCTTGTCGGGCGCTGGGGGACTCATGGCCTGGCTGGTTGATGAGGTGGAGGTAGAGCTGGTCTGCACGCTCCGGGTCGGAGCTGGCGACGATGGTTGCGATTGCGAGGATGTACCATTTGTCCGCGGGGAGGCTGGTGGATCTGAACCGTGATTCGATTTCTAGGAACAGTTGTTCGTAGCGAAGGTCAATAGATGTCATTGTGATTACTGTGGGCCAATTAGTGGGGTTGAATATCGCAGCTAGCATAGAGAAGGAATGATTTAGTCCTGAGTGCGCTGTGGTGATCATGCAAGGATGCATCGCTGACGCCCACGTACAACCCCCGCACGTCAAGTCAGATGATGCATCCAAATGCACTCCTACTTTGATAGCGCTTTGGACTCATATTGAATCCGAAATTATGACTGTCTGAAAAATGTTATAGAATATCCTTGTGCTAAGACCATAGACTGCTCGCATGGTAGCCAGGAACGGGCAGTCCGGACTGAGCTGTATAGCACGCCATGACACCATCAACCAGCATCACCACCGGGATTTTTCCTGGGACAATGTTTCGAAGTGAATTGAATTTTCCTTTTCTCCACACTAGAAAGGTATGATCACATTAACCCAGTCAAACACGCCTATTCTCCTGTTCTCAGGATACATCACCAGCCAGCCCCACAAAATATGATCTCAGCGACTCGACCATATGACATCACAACGGTCCAACATCTGGTATAAAGCTCTATGAATCTCTCACCACGACCAACACACATACTTTCATTCAACTCAAATACAATACTCTAATTGACCTCACGCGACCTCTTACCCTTTCTTCAAATCTTCAACTCTCAAAAGGATATCGCCAAAATGCCCACAGGAACTCAAAAATCCGGTAGCTCATACGCCGGCGGCGGCCAATCCAACGTCGGCCAGCCCTCTGTCTACGAGGCTGGCGACCAGCGCAACCAGCCCCAGTCTGTCCTTAACGAGCGGGAACGGTATCATGAGGGCCAGAAGGGAAGCCACCGAAACTTGGATTCGAGTATGTCACTCCCAAGCCCCGTCAGGCAACCAGCTTGGTCTGGTATCAACATAGCTAACGAAAGTAGAGGATGAACGCTCGATTGCCAATAAGCTCGCTTCGGCGGAGCAGCACCCCGACCGTAACAAACC